CCCCAATTAAAGGTCCTAACATTGATCATGAGATTAGAGTTAAGAGGTAAAAATATTAATTATTGCTTCTTCTTCTTCGTTTTTCAAGACATTTCTCTTTTAAATTGTTTTTTGTTTCGTTCATTAATTTTGATGTTGAACTTGAACAAATGTATAGTTACTACTTTCAATTTTGGGCTGTGTGTTCTTGTTCCTCGTTTTATGAGGATTGGCATTTTAGTCCTTTGAATGATTTGGTCCAATAACTTTTTTTATATGCCAAAAATGTATTAAAAAATGACACTCAAATTCAGGAAAATTAGCTATAATTAATATTGATGTTTACTTCTCGTGTGAACTTAGAAATTAGAATAAAATAATTAAACTAACTGAAATTTATAATAGACATTCTCAACAAAAACATATAAATTGACTTTCTTAAAAAAAATAATATTATTTGAAAACAGACGATTACTAAATGTGAATACTTTTTTTCTAATAAAGAAAAAAATTAACTTCTTAAGTTGATTAAATACTCCTTTATTGACATTCACTATGTCAATGTATGAAACAATATTAAGTGGGCTCAAGTGCATGGTACGTAGGTGGAAAAATTCATCATCACCATAGGGAAAAAGAGGGTCACTTTGATATTTCTCAACATTCTTCATAGTCTTTTATGCTCTATCATTGTTTACTGCCAAATTCCACTCACTGTATCTTTTCTCAAACAAAATCATGCGCTCTAGAATTTCTGTCTCCTTGAAATTGATCACTCAAATTTGCATGCAAAATAATGATTACAGTGATAAATGGAATAAAAAATCTTAAGCTTTTTAATTAGGGGCATTTTCTGTGATTTTGCTTCTCTTTATTGGATTGCCATGTTCGGAGTATTTTTTTACTTTGACTTTCAGCAATGATATTTATGGAAAAATATACCTATATAAAAAATGAAAGCAAAAGAATTAAAATGTAGGGCACTAGTCAATTTGGAAGCACATAAGGAGAGCTGATGCAAGCTGCAAGTACCTCTATTGAGTTCCATCTCAATTTGCATACTTCTAAATCTTAAAACACAATGTGGATACCAATCACTTCCATAGGTTCCATTCCATTCCATTCATTAAAAACACAACATTGTATTCTTCAACCAAATCGGTCTCTGTCTCTGTCAAATGCTCCCTGGTTACTCACACCCATCAGTCATCACTACCTGTCTGCTATTCTAATACCACATTCTGCCATCAATTTAATTTCTTTTTCTTTTTTTGCCGTTTGATATCATACTAGTTTAACAAAAGTTGATTTAATTACAATATGTGTTATTTAAAATAAGTTCTCTGTAAAATGCTCAAAATATATGCTAAGAATGGAATGATAGTTCTTCAACCCTCCCAACCCAATCAATATTAATTTTGAAAAAAATCATTATGCAAAAGACATAATTTTTCCCTTGTTCTTGTTTCATTTTTAATTTTGTTAGCAATCCGTATATTATACGTAATTCACTTAATGGCTTATGTTATTCATTATTTAAAAAACACATCATTGATTTTTTTAACCTTTTGAGAATTTTTTTTAAAAAAAATAAGTGATTAAGCAAACACTTAATTACCTAATCTAACAAAATGTATTAGTAATCTAACCAATGGACATCACACGCACGAGGATATAGTGGATGGTAAAAGTAGATTACATATATCATTGACATAAATTGGTAGTTGTAGATGTCTTTTTAGAAGAAGAAAAATGTTAAGTTGATATGCTTAAAGTTATTAGAGTGATCAATGTTGTAGACAATATCTTTATGTAGCATTAATGACATGTAAATGAGGTGAGACCAAGAAGCATGGCTACAGTTCTTAGTGTCAAGTAAACAAATATTTATACGATTCAAAGAATTTGAATGCTGAAGAATGGGTTGCATATATATTGTCATACATTAGCACAAGATAACATATTAAAACTAAGATTTCTAAAGATGGAAAAATTTAGTTTCGAAACAAATCTTCTATCTGCCAAAACAAAAGTCAGAAAAGGATAATTGTAGCTGAAGTTGTACGGAATTGGTATCAACCATTATTAGAAACATAGAGATACACGATGGATCATATCTATGAGAAAATCTAACCAAAGAAATTAACACTATTTTTTTTGTATAAGAGTGCAAATTGTTTTTAATTAGCTATGACGGAATAAATATGTAAATAAATATAAAATATTTTATTTTATATTATATATATTACAATTTTCAACATTTTCTCTTTCATTTTCATAAAACCTTAATAAAAATAATATTTAAATTTGTTAGAAATTAGGATAAAGATAAAAAGAAGGTTAAATTAAATTTTACAAGACTTAAATCTACCTTACTTCTTAACTTTAATGTTTGAATCTAGCTAATGTTATGTCTATAAATTCTTAGGTAAATGATTTGCCTGTTTTTATTAATCTCGGTCCTAAGTTTAAACATCTATAAAAAAAATTAATTTGATAAAAAATACATATTTATTATATTAAAGTTATAAAAATGTAATAATTTTAAATAAAATTTTACTATTATTAGTTTTTTTTTTCATAAAAACTCATAATTGTTTAATTAAATACTTTTTTTAAAGACTTGAATAAATTTAACGTGATCTACCATAATTTTTTAGTTAAGTATTTTTTAAAAATCTTAAGTAAATATGCGTGATCTAAATTTGACGTGCGTTAAATTTAAAGTTTTTAACAATAATTTGACTTATTTAATAAGAAAATGATTTTATTTTAGGGGTGTTGATTAAGTTATTATTATAACCATCATACGCCAGTCACGGAAAAGACGATTTAAATGTAATGTGAAGGAATGATCACCAAAAGTAAAAACTATTAAAAGCAATAATGAGAGGGGCTTCAAGTTAGGCACCATTGTCATTATCTTAGTCATAATTTTGAACATCATAACTATTAACTTAATCCAAGATATTTTCATTCAGTAGTTAAAATGAAGATTGCACGTGTGTTCACAGTGTTAATATATATATATATATTCAATATAAATGAGGCACCAATGCAATTGTGTTAGGAATTTGATAATGATGATGTCTTATTTTAGAAATTAAAATTAGATAGCGAATTAATAAATTACTGTAATAGCTATAGTTAATGATAACAGTGATATTATATAATAATTTTTATATGTTTAATATAATTGTGATAAATAATTTATTTGATATTGCGAGAATTTTCAACTTGTGGTCTTTATTTATAAAATTATTTTAATGCATTTGAAGTATAAATCATGAAAAATGTGACTACGTGAGATAAAGGCATACTGTAAAATATTGACAAAGAAAAGGTTGATTCTCCAGTGGTGAATGTAATAGTATTTTGATACACTGATGAGAATATTCGCATGTGAAAAGTAATTAAATATGTACCTCAAATCTTATTAAAAATAGAAATCTTAAAAATATCTAATGAATTGTTTGTATATATGAGCTAATAAAGGGAGAGTAAGTATTAAGTTACACATATATGACTTACATTAATTTTTATATTATTATTAATTTTATTTAAAGTATAATAATAATATAATATTTAATATATAAGTTGCATTTTTATTAATAATTTAATTTTATATTATTAATAATGAATTGTTATTTTTTTATTTTCACCTTAAATTTAAAGTATAATAATAACAATATAATATTAAAATTCATATTATTATATTTATCGTTATTCATTTTTTACCCTAAATATATATTTATATTTTCCTTTGCTAATTTTAAACAAATAAGATTATAACTTATAATATTTTTGAATTCAACACTTTAATGAGAGAAAATTATATTATATTTATGTTTTTAGCAACTATTATAGTTTCATACTATATTTATGATATCTTTTAATTGATATTTTTCATGAACTCGTAAAAGAGATGATAAAATGTGAAAATTAAGATGGAAAATAAATATAAAATGAAGATTAAAATTATTAATTGACAAATATAAAAAAAAAATCACAAATAACTTGCTAAAATAAAAAAATGATATATGTTTGCATTGGTCCTTGGAATTTGATTCACAAAAATGAGCGGAATGCATGCAGAGGTTTTAACACGTAGTGTTCTGACGTGAGAGTGAGTTCAGTGTTTCAGTTTTCCACAGCTTCCAACCTCGCATGTCATGTTTCTTGTGATCGCATCTACCATAACGTCAATATATCCTCCAATCAAATTCATCCACTATGGGTCCCACATCGCCAAAGACATATGGGTCCACAAGAAACTTCTTTCATCCGCACGATTAGCTGGCCACCAATACAGACAATATTGCTACTACACACCACCTCCAACTTTTTTTATAACAAAAATGGATATATATTACCCATATTTTGAAAATTTTCAAGCAATTTATATAAAATTAACCAAATCATTCTTTATTATTTTAATTTCATTCATTTTCTTTTTAAGTTTCAATTTTTCTTTGTTTGCCTGTATTTTATATTTTCAATTGAGAAAATAAAGTCACACGTTTTGATTTGTCAAATATTTTTTAAATTTTTGCGACGACATATATTCTTAGAGTTTTAAATTGAACAGAAATAAGTGAAAAAGACAAAATTAGTAGGAGTTAAAGAAAGACTCCCTTTCCATTATACAAAGGAGAGAATAATTAGATTTCTAATTTTGAATTTGTTTTTCTACGTCATGAATTTTAATAAAATTAAAAATTAACATTTTAAAAATATTAGCTAAAAATTTAAGAATAACAAAATTATAAAAGTAGCATATTAAATTATGTTGGAGATTAATAATATTAAAAAATAAAAAGTAATTTTATAAAATTTATATTTAAGAAAGGTTCCAGAAATGATGATTTCATTTTGAGTGCCCACAAAACAGAGGCGGGCGTATGGAAACGTTACCCTTACTAAGTTACAGGGTGTGTGCGGGAGAAGCGTGCTAACTCAGCAGCACAAGACTCGATAATAATAATAACTACACACTCACACAGTCACAGAGTCTCACAACTATAAAACGCGAAAAGAAGCGCAAAACGGGGACTCAACGGTCCCTTCTCTCTCTACTTACTTCCCTGTCTCTCTCTCGCTCGCCAATGTAGCTCCCCGGAGAATGGCTAACTGTCACCGGAACAACGTCGGAAACCTTGTTCTCGGCCACCACCCTACTAAGAACGAAACCGTTGCTGGCCACTTCCGCCTATGGAACTCCCTCTCCGCCTCCTCCCTCCGCCGCCTCATCTTCGACGCTGTCAGCTGCGGCGCCAGTTCCCGATACCACCACCGCCGTCACCAAGACGACGACGACGACGAGTCGACGGCGATTTCGGACGCCTCCGAGGAGAAACGGCAGCAGCATAAGGCGAAGGCGAATGCGAGGTCGGAGAAGCTTTCGGATCTGCTGAACATGGCGGAGATTGAAGCGGACGCTGAGACGAAGAAGAAGGAGGAGAAGCTGGAGGAGCTGAAGCGTGTGGTGAAGGAGTTGCAGGAGGAAGAGGATTTGACAAAGCGAAGAGAAGCTGCGGCGACAGTGAGGTTGGTGGCGAAGGAGGATTTGGATGTTAGAGGAACGCTTGCAATGCTCGGAGCCATTCCTCCTCTCGTCTCAATGCTCGATTCCCAAGAGCCAGATTCTCTTGTCGCTTCGCTCTACGCGTTGCTCAACCTCGGAATCGGAAACGATGCGTCAGTTTCTGACTCTTCTATTCCGTTCATCACTTCACAATCTAGATCCTTCATTTTTTTAGCGTTATTTTCTTTTTTGCTTCGTTTTCTGTTATTAACTTTTTTTTTTCCCGGTTAGGTTATCCTTTAAAAATTATTCAGATCCTTTTTTTTTTTTTTTGTGAAAAAGCCTTGGATTGTTTTGTTTTGTGTCACTTTTTATTTATCGACTATTGTTTTAAATTTTAATTTTTTTAGTCATTTTCGCTAATTAATTCGTTGAATGTTTTCTGGTCATTTAATTGTTAAAATGGCAAGCCGGTGATTTTAATTTTGGTGGTTTTGTAGCGCTTTGATTTCCTGTTTTGCAGTTTCGCTTTGCTTGTATCAAGCTGTTTTTTATGTATAAATATTTAATTATTTCTTCTACATCTTTGATTGTGACTTTATGTGATTAACAGTAAATATTTGTTTGTTTTTTCTATTTTGGGTGTGTTGATACAGGAACAAAGCAGCCATTGTCAAAGTTGGCTCTGTTGAGAAGATGCTGAAGCTCATTGAATCTCCAGATGATGTAAATTCTTCGGTGTCTGAAGCAATTGTTGCAAATTTCCTTGGACTGAGTGCTTTAGATTCCAACAAACCCATAATTGGGTCCTCTGCTGCAATTCCATTCCTAGTTAGAACCCTTCAGAGTTTAGATAATAAAAGTAGCTCCCAAGCTAAGCAAGATGCTCTTAGAGCACTGTACAATCTTTCAATCTTCCCAGCAAATATTTCATTCATTTTGGAAACCAATTTGGTCCCATTTCTTATAAACTCGGTAGGAGACATGGAAGTAACTGAAAGAAACCTTGCAATCCTCAGCAATTTGGTATCGACCCGAGAGGGTAGAAAAGCGATCAGTGCTGTGCCGGATGCGTTTCCTATCTTGGTGGATGTATTGAATTGGACAGATTCATCAGAATGCCAGGAAAAGGCATCGTACATTTTGATGGTTATGGCACACAAATCCTATGGTAACAAGCAGGCCATGATTGAAGCCGGGATTGTGTCATCACTGCTTGAGTTGTCGCTTTTGGGTACCACATTGGCTCAGAAAAGGGCCTCAAGGATATTGGAAATTTTGAGGGTGGACAAAGGGAAGCAGGTATCTGGGAGCTACGGTGGAAACCTAGTTGCAACTGTCTCTGCTCCTATTTGTGGATCTTCGTCATCTTGTGCCAAACTAGATGGAGGAGGAAAAGAGTGTTCTGAGGAGGAGGAAGATATGATGAGTGAGGAGAAGAAAGCAGTGAAGCAATTAGTCCAGCAGAGTTTGCAAAACAACATGAGGAAAATTGTAAAGAGGGCCAACTTGCCTCAAGATATCGTTCCTTCTGATCATTTTAAGTCGCTCACTTCAAGTTCGACATCAAAGAGCCTGCCATTTTGAAGAATTGCAGCTGTGAAGAGAGTCAAGGTTGAAGAAAATAAACCATGAAGTTAGTTTTCAAGTTATAATTTTGCTAAAATAGCCCTTACTTGTCAAAAGCTTGATAGAAAATTATAAAATTATTTCTGGTTTTAAGTTTCTTTTGATGATGCATCCTTTTTGGTTTTTTAGGCTTGTTCTTAAGAGCAGATTTAACTTCTTTACCATGTGTAAGCCCACTGTCTCTAAACTGAAAATGAGATCCTATGGAAATGGACAGTCATAACGGCACTACATGAGTTTTATGCTCTTGGTGTTGGGATGCCTCCTAGTCAGGGGTATGACCTGCAAAATTGGCTAATCTTAGGGTTGCTTCAGTCAAACCATGGTTACGAGCGTCCCTACCTTCAAGGAGTCGCTTTCAAACCATAGTACACTTTTGTCTCGCTATTGGGCCTACTATATGTTTTATAAATATTAATCTACATGGATAAGTGGGAAAGAGTGTCCATCATTTTCATATTTTATACAAACAACAGGGACTGTTCACTGCAATTTTCTATTTGAGAATCTTTCCCCTGTTGGTTTGTCAATTCCATGTGTTTGGGTTTTCAGGAATCTTTGGATTATGAGTGAATATAGTAGTTTGTTTATGCATTTGCAGTGAGATTGTTAGCTGTTACCCCCTTGATTTTTTTTAGTTAAAGAATTCATTAATTACCTCTGTCTTTGTTTAATGCCACAAGAACTAGTTAATGAATTGTTTCGTTTCTCTTTCAACCAGTCGCAGATCCAAAGGGCACGGAAGGATTACAACTAAGATCTGGATGGGATGGAGAGCTGAGCTGTTCGTTGCAAATAAGTATCGAGGACTTTTTGTTCCCATTATGTAAATGTTACATGATGTCCCTTGTGGGGTACAGTCATTTGTAATGTTATCTTCTGCTAGTGGCTTTATTTTTATTGACCTTTTGTGTAAATATTTTAATGTTAGTGTAGTTTTGGTTCTAAAATTTATTAGCTTGTTCTTCCATAATGTGTCAATTAAGGGTCGATTTTTCGATTTCTTTTTTTTCAATTTCGCTTGGGACTGAGGTCCCAAAATTTATTTGTTGGGGAAGACGAGGTCCTGCTGAGGCAGCGACCAGTCATTGGTTTGAGCTACACTTATTTTCTTGTTTGGACGGCAAGGAATTGAGAATTTGGAGCACAGACAATGAGGTGTTGACTAATGCATACAAAAAGTTGGAACTTATTACATAAAAGTAATTGCATATCCTTTTCTAAACTTTTGTTTATTTCCGCGTATCATGAATACTTACCCATTTAAGTTTTCAACTCCAATTATTTTCAATAACAACAACAACAAAACGAGAGGTCAAGGTTCAAGAAGCTCCACACGATTTCACTTTCTTGTGGTAATGATGACGCCCCTCTAGCTTCATACCTACAAAAGTCCACACAATGACGAAGGTTAGTGTTCATTGTCAAACTGCAAAATATACCTTCATTGACAATTGAGGGTCGAATTCTTTTTTTTTTTTGGTCGCTTGGGACTGGGGTTCGAAAATATTATGCTCACTTATCAGCACATGCAGTTACGCACAGTACATTGTAATCGCCACTTGGTCTTGAGGCTAAGTGTGTTGTTGTGTATACGTGACATTTATAGGATCCAATCAATTCGGTCGTGACCACCATTGATTGCCTATAATGTGACATTAGCAGTACCGCCTCATGAGTAATGCAATGATCATGTGTACCACAAATTTAAACAGTTGGAGAGTCTGTGATAACTAGTTTTCTGTTTCTTTTTCTTCTTTTTCCTATGGTCTTACGAGGTTTTCCCAATAGGAACGAAACTTATTTTTCACTTAATTTCCAGAGTAACTCTTTCTAATAAATGTGTCTTAATTCCTTAGTTCTTACATCATGGGGGCTGCAGCTATATGAATCGAGTTCAAACTTATTTGCCACTTCAATTCTATTCCTCGTGGCTTATAATATGGCAACTAATTTTGTATTGTGCATCATAAAAACAAGGTCAAATAGTGGTGGCTGATGGGTGCATTGTGAGTTAGATACATAGATGAGGAAGGAATGGTTGGAAGAGAAAATGCACTTTTATAATTTTTCATTCATGGGCACTAGCAGGTGGGTGGCTTTGTCTGCCTATTTTACTGCTAAATCAGTTCAGCAAACCAATGCGTTAACATTTTTGTGGGCTACTTGTTGATTCAATTTTTCTGGTTAGTTTTGAATTATTAATTAGCAGTAGGCGTTTGTTGATTCAGGAACATATTTTTTGTGGCATGCCTAAAATTTGGAACTTAAAGAATCATGTTTGAGTGTGCGAATTTGGTTTTAAATTTGTGTCAGCGTGTGTGATAATTTTAAAGTGATATTAATTTTGCATTTAAATCATGTTTTCTTTACCTAAACTCAGAAGAATGTTTTGTTACTTTGTGCAATAAAATAAAATCCACTTGTATGTAAATTGATTATATTCTCATAATTTAATATTGTCTTATTACTTTAATATATACTTCTAAACGTGAATACTTATAAATTCACTCAAAACAAAAATTAAATTCTGAAAATCAAGTTCAAGCAAAATCAAAATTACAAAATCTAATCCGATCACAAACTGCGGCAGTTTCATTATGACTTTTTGTCATTTCATTATTAGAAATTTGGGGCTTCCAACAACCGCACTAACCAAATTATATGGACCCTGCACTGGAACTTCTCTATCTGCTTTAGGGAGCAATTACTGTTATTATCTTAATGGCAAAATGAAAATATAATTTAAACCTATATAATTTCTCGTCAATGTGGGACTACATGGCTCTATTTTTTTTTTTTGCTAATGTTCTTAACTTTCTCTGACTTCAAGGTTAATGTATGGTATCAGATCTTCATTGTTACACATGATTACTCTTTTTTCTCTTTTTGTAAAGTGGAAATTCATTAAATGCCTATGATTGCTCTTTACACATACAAATGTTGAATAACATTAACAAAAGAAGCTGAAGAAGAGAATCAAAGTAAAGACAATTAGGAGAGATGAAAGTGATTATATAAAGAAAGTTATTCTGAGTATCTTACCGTAGAATGGGCAATTAAATTAGCTTGTCGAGTAAAAAAAATCTGCAAAGGCAAAAGAAAGGGCACACCTTTAATAGAAAAGGTTAGATATGTGTTACACCTACCCTTTCCATAATTAATTTTGCAGGAATATAGACCCTACATCAGATGTGTGGCATAACTTTCCTTGGTCTATTCAGAGAGACTGTCCCTATAGCCAATGAGAAGTACTAATATAGCCTTCAATCATGTTACATATTACACATTTTTGAGTAATAAGATAAACTTATATCATAGTTCTGCGCCAAATCTACTTAAATTATGGTATATTTCAAACGTTATGGGTTATAATTTTATATTGAAATATGATTTAATGTAATTTTATTAAATTTCTAAACATGTATTTTAATATAAAAACTCTATTAATTACAAATATATTATATAAACAAACTTAAATACGATGATCAACTTAAAATTTTAAAACTATTAAATTAAGAGTTCTTATACGTTACTCATCTTCATCTTCTTCATTTTTATCCAATGTATAGTTGACTGCCATGAAGTTTTGTAGATGAAGTTCTAATTTGAATTGTGGAAGTTCATATTCAACAAAGGAATGTTTGACAGAAATCCAGTTAGACACATCTTAAATACACATCAATTCAATCATGTGTAGATAACAGCCATTGATTGATTTACAGCTAGCAACACATAAAATTCACTTAATACATGCCTTTGCTATGTACAGTTTATTATGCATTAACCATGCAGAAACATAATATCGTATTCAGTGACTCATTGCTATATTACTAGTAATCTGGACATCATTTACCGTGACAATTATTAACCCGCAATTCCAGGGTCAGGACAGGACACGAGCTAGAAAATTATTGGACTCAAATTCCCTTTATAGTAGAAAAAACACATTCACTACATTTAACAATGTGATACAACGTAAATAATTAGACAAACAAGTTTAGATGTATTTGACCATTTAATTAGTATGGATATTTTAAAATTGATAAGATACTCGAATTGAATGCTCAATATATGAATTACAGACTGTTTCAGTATAATAAATGAATTGATATCATAACTTGAATATAATATTTTTATTTAAATTGGATTATATATATATATTTTTTAAATTTCAAGAAGTTAATATAATAACGATGGCAAACCAGTATAAATGTTAACCATAGTTAAAAAATAAAGAAAAATTAATAAAATTGTAAGCAGTTTATAAAACATTTTATTTTACTTGATATATTTTAGTATTTTATAACTTAACAAAAATATCCTATTTACGTACCATGTTATACTGTTCCCAACTCATACTTACGTCCGTGCAATATAGCCAATAGTTTATGTAATTTAGTGTAGTAAAGTTGGGTTGAAATTGTTCTGATTAAAAAGTAGTGGTTGAAGTTAAACTACATGTCGGTGCCAATCATTGTAGGAGCTGTTTGATGTGCCTGTCTCGATGATAGACACAAAATACATGTAAAAGAATAAGTTGAAGTAATGGTCTTAAAAGTCTTCGAAATTAATTACCGAATATGATAAATTTAATTCGGAGTTTTGAGTTCAAGTTTCTCTAAATACAACTGTTAAGAATAGAATTGCTTCCTATGTCTTTGAAATTAACCATGCATAGATGTATATCTATTCTAAAAATGAAACCGACATGCACACACAAACATTAAATAACCCGAAAAGTTTGGTGATTGCAATAAATCTATCCGACATATTTCCTTTCTTGCCCAACAAAGATTTGACCAATTGGAAACATGAGATTCTATTTCTTCCGGTTTATCAATGTAGGCATTTCGTGTAAGGCCAACACCGCTATGATAATAATATTGACACAACACTAAGCAAAATCTGCTATCTAGATTCACAAGGTAGGAATGAATGAGAAAATCTACCTAACCATGAAAAGCACACATTTTTCCTCAATCACCTGAGAGAATCAACCATAAAGGACTTGAAACATGATACCCTTTACCTTCACCAAATAACAATGGAAGAAATAAAATAGTCGAACACCCCTTTTCCTTTCCTTGAAGGGGACCATTGGCTCATTATTGCTATTTATTATCACCATATATATTCGGCACGTATCTCCATTGGCTCAAAAGAAAATCTATATGTTTCTTCTCATTTGACTTTATAGTTTGCTAAGTCTTTTATGTATCATAAACTCTAGGTGATACATGAACTAGTGTTGGTCCAATTAGCAAGAATTTAGTTTTTCCTTAAATATACTCTCGAGTAATGGGAACAAAAAAAAAATATTTGCAGAATTATATATTCTCCATTGGTGATGAGTTTATTTGACTCTGCTTGCTTTATTTGGGGACCATTTTTTAAGTACTTCCGATATTTTTAATGAAAATTAGGGTTTTGTCTCAAAAAGAGGTTTGCATTTGATGTTTTCACAAATTACTGAGATAAAACTTTAATTTTATTTAAAAATAATACTAAAGTATCTAAAAAAACTGCACCAAAATTTATTTTTAGTAAACATCAACATATGTTCTAGGTTATACAGACCAAAAGAATTTTATGTCCTACTTGACCGTCCTTTTAAGCTTTGATAGGGTTCTACATCTTTTCTAATGGAGCTTGACACGTTTATTAAGGTATTTTCTTCCTATCATGTGATAGAACTTTTACTTTTGGCATGATGCAAAGTTGGAACTTGATCTTCTGTGAGTCATTTAAAATTGTTAAGCTAAATGAAATGAAAAGAGAGAGACAAAAAAAAATCTAAAAGAAATGTTGTAAAAAATTTAAGTAAAAAAGGAAATATTGAAAGAAAGAAAAAGATATACTTGCATAATCTATGCTAAGAAATATTGCTCACCTTATATATTAGAATCCTACCGTTACATCTTACAATACTACTACATACACATCTTCATTGACCTTCTGCTGCCCCAGCCCAGACAATGTCAGCACCCTTTTCACAAGCACCACAAACCTAGTAATAATTAAAATAAAGCAAATTCAGAAAAGTGATTATTCACTTCCAACATATTATAGCTCAACAGAGAAATATTAGGTAGATATTTTCTTGTGAGAAAAACATTAAACTGGATATAAAGTAGCAGGATCACTATTCTCTACAGAAATAGATCACAAAGAGCAGCACCATACTTGTACTTTACAAGTCAAAGCTAACTTCACAAAAGCATAACCAAGTCATCTCAGAATACCTTCAATTCTTTGGTTGCTCTAATCAACACCCAAGCACAAAATATTTAAATACACGAGGAAGCCATGGCATGTATCATGTATGCATGGGTATAAAATACATTAAAATTAACCATTCAAAGTTTTCCATAGAATACAATATTAATTGGATATTTTTAGTTCAATCAGTTATTGATATACCCTGTGGAGTCGTTTAGGAAGAGATTTTTGAATGGGAGGATAGTTTTTTTTTTATATTTTTAAATTATGAAAATTCTATATTATTTATGTTTTTGGGTACATAAAAATTTAAGAAAAATGGATGATACTCCTTTCTAAGGCAAGCAAGAAAAATCGTTACATTCAAAGAATAGTTATAAAGAACTTAAGTTTATTATATTTTAAAAAGATGAATGGATGCTCGAACTTATGACATATACAATGCAAAATCTTGTATATTTTAAAAATATATCATTTGCATATGATAATAAAATAAATAATTAATCCATTAAACTTATTTGTTAATGCATATTACTTAGCGTATGAATCAGCTAATACAAATCTGTTCTAACTTCACTGTTGATAATTCAAGAAAAAGGGCCTTTCAGTAAAAATAAAGCAGACAACCTTAGAATATTTAGATATCATTATACAAAGAAAAAAGGACAAGAAGGGAAGTTACCCCACCTAGTAATAATAGCAGCTTGGTCCAAGAACCAGCAACCTTAGAAGCTACTAGCCCATTAGAAGAGTCCAATATTCAAGAAAATGGTACTGCATTGGAGGAACCAGGCCCATGAGGGTAATTATTAAACCGAAGAAAAAAGGGCTTTTGACCCAACAAAGGAGAAAAAAAAGGCGTAATTTTGACCCAGAAAAAGAGGCCCGGGGAGGGGGGGTGATTGTTGATAAAAAATAAATGTGACACGATTTATTCCTTAAATGATTTTACTTGATTAAACTCTAATTAGCTGAATCTTAAAGTGACTTGAAAATACAAAATAAAATATTGAGATAAAAAAAATTACCATTCATTCTATTTGTTATCTTCATCTCAATATGTCAAAAGAAATAATACCTCTGTCAGAAAAAGAAAAAAAATATAATATCGAACAAATTTTAGACAAATATATTTTAAAAGAAATTAAAAAGAAATAGGGGACACTATAATAAAATACTTGAGGAGAAATAACACAATTGATTTATATTGTAATTATTAAATTATTATTATTTTCTGTATAATTTATCATGGTTTTACAGAAAGTGATCTTTTACGTCAGCTACGACTTGAGGATAAGCATTCTTTTTGTTTATAAGAAATCTCGATCACAAATCAAGATTGTAAAAATTAAAATCGAACGTAGTATAAACAGTGATATTTCATTTTTAAAAAATGTACAGTACTCAAGGAGACAAAACACGAACAACTTCAGGTTGAAATTAGTTGTTCTTGCAGTTATAAAAAAAATTTCATGTTATTAATTAAGAATCAATGTGAACTTGCACAAAATCTTAGAATGACTTAAGGGTAAATAGTTTGCTAATTTATATCGAAATTATGGTCATAAACCATGACTTACTGTTAAGAGGAGATTTGTAAATATTAAATTTTATCAATCTATCCGACCAATTAAAAGTTTTTAAATAAATTAATAATTCATCAAACAACTTTATTTTAATGCTTAAGTATATATTTTTAAAATTAAATAAAAATATTAATTATAAAAGTACATGTTTATAAGTATTCAATTTATTTAAAATTTAATATGCATTATTAACATAATATATAACTTTATTCAACAACTAGTTAATAAAATTTAACATTTATACAAGTAGAACAATTCTTTTGAATATATTAAGAGAAGTCAAAGAGGATGTCAAATACCTCGTAACATAAGAGATCACTACCTTGATTAACGCTAGCATTTTCCAGGTGCCATCAGATTCAGAATTTGAAGGGTGCCTTTGAAATTTGAATATATACATTTTTTTATGTATTAAAAGTTTAATATTTGAAGGAGAGTGGAAGAAACGAAATAAAATATAAAGAGAAGGAGACCTTGAATAATATTTTTTTGTTATAAAAAAATATCTTTCAGAGCATTATGGTAAGGTATATGCATACTAGTTAATTGATGTGAGGTGGCATAGATGTGGTTGAACATTTGAAGGACTAAAACAGAAAGGAAAAAAAAATGAGTTTGTTAGCAAGTACTTAGTGTAATAATTAAGAAAATCAAAATGTTTTTTAAATAAATTTAAATGAATAATAATAAGAGCTGTATTATTTTTAATAATTTAGAAAATATATGCATGTTTTATTACTTGTATTTATCATAAATCAAAATTGAAATATGCATTAATAAAGTACGTTTTAGTAAGAAAAATATTTTACTGATATATATTTTATTGAGTTTATGTATTCTTGATAAATATTATATTTCTATAAATTTACATAATCTTATCCTTTAAACCTTTTAATTTTATTTTGTATGGTTGCTATTTCTATTTTTTTAAATAACAATTAAAATTGCACCATTTCTTCATTATTCATAAAAATGTATTTTAACAAGAGTTATTTGTTTTTTTTTTTGTATTCTTAAATAATAAAACATTTTATTTTATTTTATTTATAATCATATAAAAGATAAAAAGATGAAATGGATTCATCTTATATGTTGTAAGATTTTGTTTTAATTGTAATTTTTAATAGAAGTTGAGTTATTTTATCAGATAAAATATTAAATTCTCAATGATGCTAAATACCAGTAAAATCTTAATATTAACTTTTATTTAGATTAATATTCATAGATATTTAAATTTAATTAATTATCAAAAGTAAGAATGCAACTATTCATAAGATATTACATTATAAAGTAGATAAATCAAATAAATTGTGGAAAAATATCCTTAATAATAATTTTATTCTTTAAGATTTGTTATGTTTAGCTAATTATATTCTCTCAAATATGTTAATCGTAAATTTTCAAAATTATTAAACGGGGTATAAAAATAATACATATTAGACAAAAAAATTTATTCTAAACGTTGAATTAAAAAAATATATGATTAAATAATATTAAGTAAAATTAATTAAATCTATAATTAAAAGTTATGAATTATTTATATATTTAAATATGATTATAAATATAAAATTAATACAGAGGTGCCATATATTTCATGTACTAATTAAACTTGTTTTAAAATTCCTACAAAACAGGCTGAAAGAGCACGCTGATCGGTCAAGGACTGAACAAGACTATTTACTATGTACTACGTAGTTGCAACATTTGTAGCTGTTCCTTGACCCTGTCTGAATCTGAATCCTCCAAAATAATAATAACCAACCAACCACATCAATATCAATATATATATGTGTGTATGTGCATGATCAAAAGTCCAAACCTCAAATCAAATCAAATCACTTGTTCAAGATGGCTGGTAGTGGCACCTTTGCAGAGATCATAGACGGTGATGTCTTCAAGTACTACTCGCAAGGCAAGTGGAACAAGTCCTCTTCTGGAAAATCCGTTCCCATCATCAACCCCACCACTAGGAAGACCCACTTCAAGGTCCAAGGTAATATATAATAGCAACATACCCTGCCCCCACTCCATAAAAATCATGTCTTTATCATCTCAATTGTTGGTTTCTGACCCAATTCTTCAATTGAAAGAAAATCAACAACACCCCTACGCGATTATATTGTTTTTACTGTTTTTTTGGTGTTGTTCGAATTCATAAGTAATATAGGATGGTACTTTTGTTTCTATAATTTAGAATGTTAATCCAATTTTATTGACTCCCAAAAACAGCTTGTACCCAGGAAGAGGTTAATAGGGCCATAGAATCAGCAAAAACAGCTCAAAAATCATGGGCCAAGACTCCACTGTGGAAAAGAGCAGAGTTGCTTCACAAGGCCGCAGCAATACTGAAGGAGCACAAAGCACCTATTGCTGAGTGTCTTGTCAAGGAAATTGCAAAGCCTGCTAAGGATGCTGTTACTGAAGTATGTACATGTACAAGTAGTAATTTTCATTGATCTATTGGTTATCAAATTAAAGACTATCTTTTTTTCCTTCACTATCTTTTTAACTTTCTTGTGTACTTTTGGCATTCAATTTAAGTTGTGGCTTGCTTCCATGATTTGGTCATTTGGGTGTTCACTTAAACTAACTAGTGTGGTTTTTGTGTAGGTTGTGAGATCAGGGGATTTGGTGTCATATTGTGCTGAGGAAGGGGTGAGAATTCTTGGGGAAGGAAAATTTTTGGTCTCTGATAGTTTTCCAGGCAATGAAAGAACCAAATACTGTCTCACTTCCAAGGTATTTTGACCTACTCTTTTAAAAGTGGTGATTTTTTCAGGCAGCATGTGAAAGTGGCACCTAGCATTAACTACGTTTTTTTTCCCATAAGAAAGTTACAATGTCCAAAATCTAGTTATTTTTTACACAGTCAAATGTTTCACATTTTGAGAGGAATATCCGGGGAATATTTCACATTGAATGGAATATCTAGGGAATCGTTCAATGCATATTCACAACCATTATATGCCGTTAAACGGTAGAATTTATATAAAATGAGAAAACCCATAATTATATACATAATAGTCCGAGAGTCCTATAAAATTGATGCAAACCCGTTGCACCTTTATTTCAACATCAATGATGAAATGCCACCAAAAATTAAAAAGGAAAATCGTAAATGTAAATGAGAGCCTGCAAACTTAGATTTTGCATGTCTGTGGTTTATGCTATAAAAAATACTTTGAAAATTTATGCTGTATTGGCAGATGAAATTGTATTTTTCCTGAGAATTCACAGTGGTTCGGCTTATCCATTTTTGGAAGAGGCTTCCATGTGACAGCAATTTGGTCAATGCCAATGACAATTCATGTTAAAGTTTGAATGAGTTAAATCTGTTTGTGGTTAATTATTGAAAGTTGGTTAAAAAATTTTGCAGTATTGATAAGGGCATTAGAAGCAACATATGTTAGCAATACATGAAAATTATTGCATGCTAAATTCATGATTTTCATCACCTGCAAACTGCAATTTATTATACTAGACCGTAAGGCATGCTTAATTTGGACATCACAACTTCCTAGACAACAATTTATTTCAAAATTAGATGCTTACTTGAAGAGGTAACAATGAATTACATTCTATTAATGGCAATTAGTTTGAATTTTGAAATGCTATTTGCTATATGTTTGGAAGGACATAAAAGACATATGAACACTTCATTACATTATAGTTTTACTATTAATTATGATAACAGAAAGACCATCTCTTGTGTCACTTTTGATTTACGTATACTACTATTTGATGTGTAATAAATGATTTTGGGAGTTTCCAGGCGTGCTCAAACCTGATTACTTTCTTTGGGTAGAAGGTTTGGAAACAGGATCACTTTTAAATCTTCAATTTTTTTCACTTATTTAGCTTGGCATCAACCTCCTGATTCTTTTAAGGAAAGCAGCTACAAAGTTGGATTTCTTATGAAATGAAAATATATGAAGAGGAGTGAGGAGCACCTGGGTTGTTGTGTTGGCCATAATAATTAAGATTCAAAACTATTATTTGATCAAATTAAACTTTTCTTTTGTATATGCTACTTCTGGAATAATGTCTATACCATATACTAGACTCTATGCCCGTGATTGTAAGTAATGTGTTATTTTGAGATATTTTCTCTTTGCAGATTCCACTTGGAGTTGTTTTGGCTATTCCACCGTTTAACTATCCTGTTAATCTGGCTGTTTCAAAGATTGCTCCAGCGCTTATTGCTGGAAACTCCATTGTGCTTAAACCCCCAACCCAGGTGTGCAGCTATTTATAGAGCATATGCTTACTAATAGTTATAGTCATACAATTAGTTAATTTAAATAAAATCTCAAGTGCTGCATATATTTTGAAAGGCTTTACGAGTCATAGGACTTGCATAACTCTATCTTTGGACTTACAGGGTGCTGTTGCTGCATTACATATGGTGCATTGCTTTCATTTGGCTGGTTTCCCTGAAGGTCTTATTGGCTGTGTGACTGGAAAGGGTTCTGAAATTGGTGACTTTCTTACAATGCATCCAGGGGTGAACTGCATAAGGTAATATTCACTTCTTTGGCTATCTTGTTAATACTGTTTGCTATAACAACGGTTTTATCATTTTATATACAATAATTCAAGTAATTCCTAATCCACAAGTGTAGTTCCAACTTTCAACTAGATGTTTCAAGAATTCAAGCAAGATACACATCACGCCTCATTTTTTGTGTTTTTGAAAAATAAATTAATTAACTAAATGGTTAGATGATAAATCTTTCCTTTGTTTCAAAATTAATTATAAGATAAATACATAAATAACTTTGGATTATTTTGTGTCAAATTATGAATATAAAGTGTCTTGCCACTATACCGAGAGGGAATATGTATCTTTCTTTCCTTCTCCTGGGCGACTAACAAGCAAGGGACTGAGTGTTTGCTGGTTAGCTATGGTTGGAAATTACTGGACTGAAAGCTGTCTAAGGAATGGAGTCGCTCGACCAGGAGGATTGAAGTTACTAAGCCTTTGCTTTGGAATAGCAAGCAATCAAACGGAATTGCAGAGAATGGAATGATTCTTCTTCTGTAACTTAATCTGGAATTCTGTAGTTACAGTCTAGCCCTGATCTCAACTAGCACTAGCCTTCGTGTTAATAAATAAGTGTAACTGAACTATTTCAACTTTCAATTGAACTTCTTCGTCGTTCAGTCCATTAAGGCTAAGCTGATCGTGCTGTCAATATTGTATTCAATTGCTCGAGTGGCTGGCTAGCTTTGCCAGAATCATATGTAATCACAGGGGTACTTTCGAAGATGCTCTGCAGTCAGAGGATGGCAACTTTCTTGCTTGCTTTTTCTTTTTCTTTTTTTAGTGTTATTTTTGTCAGTAGAGAAATGTTTTGGCCATTGCAACTGAAAATTTTCTCACCTAATTCCAATTAATCCTCAGTTTCACTGGTGGGGACACTGGAATAGCAATATCAAAGAAGGCTAGCATGATTCCTCTTCAAATGGAGCTGGGTGGAAAAGATGCCTGCATTGTTCTTGAAGATGCTGACTTGGATTTGGCAGCTGCTAACATTGTAAAAGGTGGCTTCTCCTACAGGTAACAGTAGCATATAGCACTTTCCGGAAGGGAATTATTTGGACTAGAAATCGTGAAACATCAAAATTGCTTCGTTTTTCCTGCAACAGATTGTCTTAGATTTTGCTAACAAAACTGTTATCAGTATCCAATAGCTATATGACCTTGTCTTTCTTATTTTTGTCTCTTTTCTCTAAAAGGAAAATAATTCTCTTAATTGCTTTTCTGGAAACATATACAATGAAGGAAAACAGCTCATGCAAGGAAATCAACTATAAGACATGTTTGAGTATCGTGTTTATCGTATTTCTCGTTTAGACTTGCAGTTTTATATGAAATTTTCATATTTTCTTAATTTTGAAACTTCAATTATAGGAATTACTGATTTATTCATTGCATTTTTCTCATTGTGGTTGCATTGACTCCCATGACAGCAATAGTCCTAAACTCTAGTACAAATGCTTTGAAAATTTTTCTATGCCAGTGGTCAAAGATGCACCGCTGTAAAGGTTGCTTTGGTCATGGAATCCATAGCCAACACTCTTGTCAAGAAAGTCAATGATAAAGTTGCAAAATTAACTGTTGGGCCACCTGAGGATGACTGTGATATCACACCAGTAGTCACAGAGTCCTCTGCTAATTTTATTGAAGGGTTGGTGATGGATGCTAAGAAGAAAGGAGCAACATTTTGCCAGGAATATAAAAGAGAGGGAAATCTCATATGGCCACTGCTTTTGGATAATGTTCGTCCGGATATGAGGATAGCATGGGAGGAGCCATTTGGACCAGTTTTACCAGTCATCAGAATAAATTCTGTTGAAGAAGGAATTCACCATTGTAATGCTAGCAATTTTGGCCTTCAGGTATGTATAACATATTTTGATCAAAATGCCTGTATACATTCAAATGAATAAAGGACACCATCATTTACAATATGGCTACATTTTATGTTTTCCGAACTTCTTTTTACATTCAAAAGAAAGTGTCAGGTATAATCATTTTTTATTTGCTTGATGAGTTTGAAACTTTGAACAGTTTGTGACAAAAACTAAGATGCTCTTGTGAATAGCTGTCTTAAGAGGTATTGTCCAATTTGTTTAATTTTCTTTTTCATCATCTTGATGATCATTTGAGTGTGTCACACAATCTTCAGGGCGTTCTCAGTCAAAATGCCACTAATATATTTCAAGGCAGAAAACTAGAACAGTTGTATTTACTTTATTTCATTCTATATATGATGCAGGGATGTGTCTTCACCAGGGACATTAACAAAGCAATGTTGATAAGTGATGCAATGGAGACAGGAACAGTTCAAATTAATTCAGCACCAGCTCGTGGACCTGATCACTTTCCTTTTCAGGTGCAGCCTTTGTCCTAAATCTTGCTAAGTTGCCTTTTAACTTTTGTAGTTTATAATTCTAATTATAAAATTCCTTTTATACATAGGAAATTAATTCAAAGGTTTCTGGCAAAAGAAAACCTCCTTTCTTCCCATGCAATATCATTAATTGAAAGGATAAAATAAGTTTTTTAGTTACTAGAAGTGTAGTTAAATTCTGTTTTAGTCCTCTAATTTTTTTTAATTGGTTTTAATCCACATAAATTTTAAAATTTTCGAAAAAGAATCTCCGTGATGTGTGTGATATGAATTTAGGCACAGCACATAAAATGTCACGTCAGTGTGGTTGCTAACATGCCATTACTAGATTCACACCACCATGTCATCACAAAGTGATAATAGAAACTATTTTAAAAAATTTCAAATTTATGAGGCTCAAAACTAATAAAAAACGGACTTAAAACCAAATTTAATCATATTTATAAGAACTAAAAACATTTAAGTTTCAATTGATATATACAGAAAAGAATATGAAACCATGCAGTCATAATTGTAACGTAGTAAATGTTTGAGTAATTTATTTTTCTGTCTAAACAAGCAAATATGATTTGTGGCAGGGTCTGAAGGATAGCGGAATTGGTTCTCAAGGAATCACCAACAGTATTAACATGATGACCAAGATAAAGACTACAGTAATCAACTTACCGGCTCCTTCGTACACTATGGGATGAAATGGCTAATAACGTTAAGTTAGTGTTCCCAATCTCACATGCTTCAGCTTAGCCTTATAGAGTGGATTTATGAGGGACAATCTTTAAAGGATCTACTTGCATATAAACAATTTGTGTTGATGTGGCTTGTATTGTATGGAGAAAAAACAAGACTACTTGTACACGTAGAATATGAATCTTGAATAAATTATGGTTCTACATCTCTACTTGAATTGATGGTGGTATGATAATCCCGCTGAGATAAGTGTGTTATAACATAAATAATCATAACAGAAATGTGATATATTAATCCCACGGAGAAACTCTTATGATAAATTAATGATGGGGAATGCTTCTTATAGACCAAAGAAATAAATAAATAGTAATGATCTCATGCATTGTTGGAGTGTTTTGTAATGATCAGTTAAAAATAATGTATCGCTTTTATAGTGAATGTTTTCTTCGTAAAAAAATATTTATTATAATAGAAATATATCTTTTAAAAGGAAGTAGTTATTATAAATATTTTTATAAAGAGAGAGACAAGAATACTTGACCTTTAGACACTTATACTACGTCATTCAAAATTTAATATTTATTTATATTTTTAAAAATATTATATGTTAAAAAAATAAAGTGATGAAACACTTTTTACTTTTGTACAACATTTTATGGAACATATTTACTTTATAAGATTTTTAAATTAACTACTTTATTTGTTTATCTCATGTTATATTAAAACTTAAACTTAACTCTTTGTATCAACAAATATGAACTTTTATATTTATATATATATTTTTTATCTTTAAAAAAATAATATTTTTTATAAGGGAAAAATAGCTATTAGATTAGTAAACTTCCACGTGAAATAAAAGACAAGGAAGGAAGTAAGCAAATCAATATAAAACAAGGAAAAGAAAGCTAATCATTAACTTTCATAGATTATTTACCTTTCTGATTGAAATTCTTTGTCAAAAGGATAATATATTTGATTTTCTTTGCAATGTACTTCAAATTCGAAATAAAATAGATAATACGTTTAACATAAAAAAAAATTGAATTACTCTCTTATAATTAATAAAATTAATTTATTTTTATATATACAATATAAATTTTGTTAATAATAACAAAGCATCTCCTATTATATTCATGTAATTTTGTTATTATTTAATAATCATGAATGTAAATCATCGAGGAACGAAACTAATATTTTAACTTTATTTTAAATTTTAAGTTTGAGTCTCAGTGAGTATTGTTATTGTTGTGTTAAATACTCAGATAAAAATATTTGTAAGCTCATATTTGTAGTGATATTTTTTATTTTTAGCAAATTATCTCCGATAAAAAATAGTAATTTAAAAAAATATATAAATATGATATAAATAAATTAAATTTAAATCACACAAGTTCTCAAAAAAATTTCACAAATTGTACTTGGACTGTATATATGTTGGGATTAAATAAGATTTAGTATATACATATTGGTGAACTTTTTACCCGGTTTGACATGTGCTGTTGTCATGCGACCTACGTTAACAAATCTTACTCCCTACTGTGCCGAAATTTTGGTATAAAGGCGCGAGTTTTGTTTTTTATTGTTAAATATATTTAAAACAATAAAATTAAGTTTTAAGATAAAATATTATATTAAAATGCTTTTTAATTAAATTAAATTTATCTTATTCTCCAAACAAAAGTTTTAATGTTTTGAGACATTTATATTGTTTATATTTAAATTAAAACAGATAATTCATCTTTTTTTGCTATTAGATAACTTCATCTTTTACCAAAAGGGGTTAGATCTATCGTATTTAACATGTGAAAAATCCACGTACAATGTTATCTAATTGATTGTTTTTAGATGTAAATGTCTCGATCTTGTAAGGTATATAATATGTACGTTGCCATGTAATTAATTAAATTTTACGATTATAAAGCAAACTTAAAAATTTAATTACAAAGAAAAAAAGGTACAAACTAACAAAAGCAAGAATATGGCAAATTTATTAATTTGATTTTTTTAATCACATAATTTGATTTATTTCAATTTCATGCTGTTTTGACCAAACTAGGCGTGTGCCAACACAAAATCTCATGCTCGATAATCCTGTCACACCAAACATTATTAAACCAATTACTCCCATCCCAAAATGAAAATGATTAAGATTTATCTCCACCTTTTTCAAATCCTTAAATATAAAACGTATATAATGTTTCTGGTGAATTAAATGGAATTTTATAAAAAATAAATAAATATTTATACGGAGTAACATTATGCTTTTTTTAAAAATATTTTTTATTTTATTTTTAAATAAACAATAAATATAATAATTTTTGAATGACATATTAGTCAATTTTTACTACATAAATAAAATAAATATTAAAAATATTTTAATAAAATTATTCTACTAATAATATACTTATTTTACGTTTTTATAAAAATATTAAATGTCAGTCTAATTACAACAAAAAGTAATAAAATAAAACAAGAGTAAGAAACAATATCTAAAGCAAAGCTACCTGGACCCCAGGCCCATGAAAAAAAATCCAAAAGACGGAATTCAAAACCCAAATTTAACTCAAATTCACGAACCCGCGAGATCCGTGGCGAGCCAAGATATGGATTATAATTCTCCTTCGAAGCGCCCAAATTAAATTTACGGCAATAAAAAAATAAGAAAAATAATCAATTTTCTAAATGTCATCTTTAATATATAAATTGAAATTCACACATATATAAATTAGTTTTTCCTTTTCGTGTTCAAAATTTCCCCGGAAGCTCACTTTACTCTCTCCCCTCTCTCGCACGCTCCGTTTCTCTGTGTAATAGAACGGAAGAAAACGAAAGAAGAGAGAAAACCCTAACGCTTTGTTTGGTGCTTGAGAAGCCAGCATTTAGGTTTGAACCGCGGTGAATCTGCTTCGATTGGAGGGTTTCTAGGGTTTCGATGGAGTGAGAGCTAGCAAGATCTGCAACGGAAGAGACTCGGAACAACGCACCAATGGATTCCTCGGATAAGGAGCTAGAAGAGCAGCTTCTAGAAGCTGGTAACAAGCTCGTAGATCCTCCCTCCTCCGTCGATGACCTGCTTCGTGTTCTAGATGTAAGCTGTTTTCTCTCTTTCTGTTTTCCGTGGAATAATCGTTTTATCAGTGTTTTTTCTTTATTCTTTTGTTAATTCTTTTCATCGCTTGTTTGTTTATTTGATGCATGAGGCTTGTTCTTGTTGAGGATTTCGTGAATCGGTTTTGAAGAGCGGCGGTGTGTTTGGTTGTTTGTGATTTTGCATGTCGTTGTTGGCTTTGTTGTTTACCTAACTGTGTGTCGCTTCCATCAGTTCTTGAACTGTTTTATGCGGAGATTTACTCCGTATGCGCAATTCATACTGTTTGCAACAACTTGCTCGTTAATTTGGGAATATTCATTGATGTCTTACTGTTTAGGCTCTTGGTTTGTAAAATTGAGAATTGCTTGTAAATGCCCGACGTGATGATGTGCAAGGGAATTGGTTCTTAAATTAACCTGATTTGGAATGAGTTAATGAATTCATTTGTGAATGAACTGAGATTTAATTGGTAGTAATATTAAACTTGCGATATGCTGGAATGGGTTGTCTTCAACATTAATCGTCATGTTTGGCTGCTTAAGGAAATGCAAATTGTTTTGGATGCGGCCCGCACTAGGCTGTTTTAAACAAATGGTGTAAATGGAAATTTTGAATTGAATGTTTATCTTGATTCAGTTTTTTATTGACTGTCAGAATAAATGATCTGGGCATAGACAGTGGTATCTAATGTAACTGTATTAAATTGTGCACGGATTATTTCTGGTACAAGATAGAAATATTCAATAAGAGTAGGATAACTTCTGTTGTAGACCTTCTTAACATAAAACCAAATTGATTATCTGCAATTTTAGTTTCTTCTCTTGGTTTATGCTCAATCATTTTTTCTCCGTAACTTTACAGAGTGACTCTTAAGTTTTTATCTCTCTTTAGTTTGCACATTTCTAAATATTGCCCTTGTCTTATTTTTATATCTAGCGACCAAAATGCACTTCCTTCACCCGTTTGATATATTCTTTGATCAGATCTCAGTTAAAAGCTTAGTAAGCAAATCAATTTCTTATTCAATCATACATTTTCAAACTTCAATAGGGATACTATCCGGGCTGATTGCTTTACCATTATTCATCTTCTTAAGAGCTTTTTTATACTTCTCTGGGTTGAATTCTACAACAATACGCCAAATTTAGTTAATCTCCTTGAGTTTCAATCATTTTATATTTTCAGTTGCTTGTTGCCTATTATTAAAAAATTTATAGCAATAGTTTTTTTTTTTTTAATTTGTCTTTAAGGCCTTGTTCTTTGTAAATTGTATTGCCTCACAACCAACATGATTTTTTAAGTGTCCTATCTATGAAATTTTTTTTTCAGCTTGTAAAATGCATTGAATTAAATCCTCTATATCCTCTTGTAACTTTTCTTTCAAAAGAACTTCCAAGCCAACTTGTGGAGTATAAGTAGTGATGATATTAATAGTGTCTTGTGTGACTAATAACTTCAAATATATGATCCTGTCATCAATGCTTTTAGTCTTTATTACATTCTTTTTCCAAGTGTTATTAGAAATGATGCCTACTTCATTCTTTCCTCTAACTTTAAAATTACAGTATCAAGTTCCTTAGCCTTTTTTTCAACCCATTTTATTTCTTGAAGGCGCATGATGTTAATCTTTCTATGAATTATGATGTCCACCACTTTCAAAGACTTTCATGTCAAATTACTAAGATTCCATGAACCAAACATAATCAAGAGTCCTTGGACTAACTTCTATTCTGACATTTGTCTAACCAAATGTGGGTACCTTTACTCCCTTAAAATTACATTCTGGTGCTGCTTGTACTGGTTCTTGCCCATTTGACTGTACTTGAGTCACACAAAATGTTACTTTGAGCTAACGACCTAGTCCTAGCACAGTATTGTTGTCAGTGATCCATGTATATGTGTTGACAAGTTTTATGTTTGCTGCCGAAGGCTTAACACATCTCTGTTCATTTAGCCAGGCTTGGGATCAGATATAGGACCATAGACAGAGTTATTTATTGTTACTATAAATTGTTAAAAATTTATGCATCCTACCAAATTTATCTCCTTAGAGGTAGAAAATTTGGTACAATTAGATTCATTAGTTACTAAGTTAATATATTTCTTGGTTACACAATGTAATATTAGGTTACCAGTTAAAAATTTGAATGTTGTTGCATGAGCATACTTTGTGAATTGATTCTGCAATATAAAGGAAAAAGTTAAAGAAATAATAGTGCAAAATATGGACAACCACCAGTGGTTACTGTTTTTTGATACAGCAGGGTGTTCATATCTCTTAAACAGCCTCATTATACTTGTTTTTGTTGAAATTCTCCTTGGGAAATGTATCATTGGAAGAAATTATTGAATTTGAAGTTTCAAGTAAAACTATCTGTGTTTCTCTTACTGAATTTGTGTGTAAATTTTATTTTTTCTGAATATCTGATACCATACTTACTTTAGGTTTGAAATATTTGTCACTTGTTTACATACTTAAAAATTTTCCGAGTTGTTGATGCTCTATAGTGTATATCTAATTCTTAGGGTAGTTGTATCAATTGTTTAACTTTCTGTGTTGACTAGCCATTCTTTTTGAGTGATACATGGGTTTCCTTGATCTCCAGACACATTCTTAACTTTATGAATGACCAAAAATATAAATCACATTTGCTTGATCTTATTTTTTTCTTGCCTTGGAACTGCAGCGGCTTGAGTGTTGCCTAATATTGGTTGAACAGTCACCTTCCAAATCTATGCAAAATGCACTCTCTCCATCATTGAAAGCATTAATTGCTGATAAACTTTTAAAGCATACCCATGTTGATGTCAAAGTTGCAGTTGCCTCTTGCATAAGTGAGATAACAAGGATCACTGCACCTGATGCTCCTTATGATGATGACCAAATGAGGGTACATACAATTATTTTCTACTATAAATTAATTGAATTATATAATTATGTTTACAAATTATATCTGTTAAAGTTTGGAAATGTTATTTTCTGCCAGGATGTCTTTCGATTAATTGTATCTTCATTTGAAAATCTACATGACAAGTCAAGCCGATCATATACAAAGAGGACTGCAATTCTTGAAACAGTTGCAAAAGTGAGGTCATGTGTGGTAATGCTGGATCTTGAATGTGATGATCTGATTTTGGAGATGTTTCAGCATTTCTTGACTACAATAAGGCAAGTGCCGTTGCATAAAAGTCCAGCATCATATCAGCTTCTGGTTCTTTGTTATTGCTTTTTTTTGCTTCAAACATTACATAGTTTCAACATTATAGTCTACAATAATTGTATTGAGTGGGAAGTTACTTTAGATGTATATTTTAAGATGTATGCATACTGAAATTTACTTTTGATTGAATATTAGGATTGATGTTGAACCTGGTTCTGAATTCTGACGATTGATATCATTCTTAGTTCTAAATATTGATCTTAAATATTGTTCTTCCTCTGGTTTGTTTCTCTTTCCTGATGTAATTGGATTATGCACTTTTATTGCACTCAGTCATTAAATTCACTGCGTTTTGAAACATAAGTTAAAAGAGGAAACTAATTTATTGCAAACTGATTAAACATCTGATTTAGAATCTTGCTTTTTACTAGTATTGCAGGTTAGATTAAAAGTGGTAGTTGTAGCATGTTTGCTCTTGAGGTTGATTTATTTATTGAAAATTTTCCTTCTTCTTGATACCTTGCACTTGTGTCTTGATTTTAAGAAATTATTTTCTTTCATATTTCTGTTGCGTATGTTCAAAATCGGTTTTTATTTCTTTTGTCAATTTGAAGCAAAATCTGTGGACATGGTTCTAACAATGTCTGTTGAAAACTTTCAGGGATCATCATCCAGAGGCTGTTTTTTCATCCATGGAAACCGTAATGATCCTTGTTCTAGAGGAGAGTGAGGATATATCCCTAGATTTACTCTCTCCAATCTTAGAAAGTATTAAGAAAGACAATGAGGTTGGAGTTTGCAATTAATTCTCTTTAGTTGATTGTGATTTTGAAGTTGAACCATTTTTTCATCATAAATTTCTTATTATTGTCATCATAATTTAGGAAGTTTCGCCAATTGCTCGAAAGTTGGTGGAGAAAGTTCTTGAACGTTGTGCAACCAGGCTTAAACCATATATAAAGCAAGCAGTGGATCACTTGGGTATTTCCTTGGATGATTATAGTAATGTTCTTGCCTCAATATGCCAAGATACATCTGGTAGTTTGGAGCAAAATGATGCCTGTGCTACTAGTGATCATGCGGTAAATTTATTGTTTTAATGTTTATAAAAAATTAATTGGCTTGGGAAATTTTTATAATGAGCTGACTAATGATTAACTTCGCTTGTGGTACAGGAAGATGAGAGCAAATCAGGAAAAGAGCCAGTGAAGGAGTCGGAACAGGTTTGTTTCATCTACCCATTTAGTTTTGTGTTTTCTTTGTTCTGTTTTAATCCACAGGCATGGGATATTGGAACATGTCTATACTGGTTGATCAGGTGGTTAGGGAGAATTCCAAAGAAGATGCACCACCCCCAGAAGATAATCCCGAGGGTGACAGATCTCCTAAGTCTGTCATGAGTAATGGCATTGCACAAACTGGAGAAGATGATACTTCGGTAGATCCAAAGTCCTTAAAGAAGCAAGGTGATACTGATGGTGCTGTTCATTCTGAAGGTATTAATTTATCGGGTAATGGAGAGTCCAATGATTTGGATGGTGAAAAAATTGAGAATAGTGAATCAAAGGCAGAACAATCCACCAAGGGAAGAGGAAGGAAACCTAGTGCTTCGAAATTGGTTGAACCTTCTGAAGGTTCATATCTTGCTAATGAGAAAGAAACTGAGAAAGTGATTGAAAGTCACAGCAAGGATGTTCCCAGTTCTACTCATGAGGATGATTGTGCTGAGGCTACAAGACCTTCAGAAAATGATAAAGAGATTGATGCTAAAATTTCATCACCAAAAGCAGGTGATGGTGAATCTGATGCTGTTGCTTCTCCTTCACCAAGTGAAAGCATTCATGATGAAAATCATTCAAAGAAACGTGGGCGATCAAAAAAGAAAGCAAGCTCTGCAAAAGAAGGGGTTGCAGAAAATGTTTCGAAAAAGGTTTCTGAAGGAACAAGTGATTCAGAAGGAAAACCTTTGAAGCCATCAGTGAAAAAGGGACAGGGTCGTACCTCTGATGTGAAAAAAACTACCATGGTAGATGCAGTAAAAAAAGGAAGTGGGGCTACAAGTGACGTGGATGGAAAAAAACAATCAGCTAAGAAAGCAGAAGACAGAAACAAGGGTGGTGGTGGGTCCTCTTCTAGGCAGTTGGAGGACAAGAGAAAGAAGGGGCGGGGGAAAGGTAACCCTGAGAAGGGTCTAGCAAAATCTTCTACTAAGGATGATGACAAGGTATTTGCATACTTGCTTTAGAACTCTTTCGTTGTTATTTGGTCATGTTATCCCAACATGATATTTGTTTTGCCTGTATGTTTTTTCAAAAATGAAGTATTGCTGATATTATTGTAAGTTATTTAGGAAATGGTGTCTTCACCAAAGTCAGCTGTGAAATCAACTAAAGATGAACATTCAGAGGAGACTCCTAAGACAAATTTGAAGAGGAAGCGCACTCCAGGAAAAGAAAATGTATGCACCTTGTTTTGTGTTTTTTAAGTCATGGTGAACTTCCATGTTTTATGCATTAGGACACTTGTCCTTTTAGAAAATCCTTTAGGTAACTATATGGTTACTATGTTGGACTTTGCAGTGTGTTGGAGTCTTTCGTAAAGGCACAGTTGATTTGTTGAAATGTTGTAATTTAATGTACTGTACTTGTATTTCCTACAGCATCATATTGTCTTTTTCTCCGTTTCCCTTTCCTCTATTAAGAACTTGGAAGTAATTATTTGCTGTGGGTTCACTGTTTCCCTATATGTTGTCAATCTTTATTTTTGTTGTGTAGTTCTGAAACACATGCAATTCTGGCAATTTTTTTTCTAATTAGAGTTTTAATATTCATATTTTTTATTGCGAATCTTCTGATTGCTGTCTCAGGAGTCTAATAGCAAGAAATATGGTCAAGAACTAGTTGGTTCGCGAGTTAAAGTTTGGTGGCCAGATGATCAGATGTAAGTACACGATTTTTTAATTTGCAACTTGCTGTGACTGAAATTTTCTGTTAATCAGGGACAGGGAGTGTTGCATACTTTCTGTCAATTAGGGGTTTACTTGTAATTTAAATGTTTTGCATTCCTGGTTGCACAAGCTGTTTGTATCCTTGGTGTATGCAGTTGCATGATCTGAGTCTTTTCTAGATTATTACATCTTATTACATGAGTTTTTTAAGAAATCATATGACCACTAGCCTTAAGTCTTGACCATTTGTGTACAGTGGTATTATTTAGAATTATAGTTTTAACTGTCTCAGATGATTCTCTCTCTCTCTCTCTCTCTCACGCACACACATCTGAGTTATTGATAGTGTTGGCTATCACAGTGGGGGTGGCTGCTAAATTTACATAGATTGAAGTCGTTTGTGTTCACACTTAATTGCACCTGCTTTGAGTATGCTTTAGATTAATGATTATTTTGTCTTTAAGCTAAGGCATCAATTTTCAGTATTAACGATAAACATGTCTTATGTTGAGTACATGGTTTTGAGAATCTAATCTGTATACTAGAAATTATTTGCATAATGTCTAATCTGGATCTTTGACTTAGCTATAGCATTTTTGGTTTAGCCACCCTTGGCCAATATCTGGCATTAACTACTTGGATAAATATTTATATTGTAAAACCTTTTGGGTTTAGTCATCATGGTTCATTGGTTTGAGCTCAATATTTCCCTTCCTGGCGTATTTTGTACGTTTCTTGTTTTAACTGCTTATGTAAGCTGTAATTATGCCTTACGGTTTATAGACCAATATTACATTTATGATTGTGCTGCATTCAGTGAACTTCGTAGTAACTATGCTTACTGATTATTGTCTTTAAGCTAAGCTATGAAATTTCAGTATTAATAAACATGATTTATGATGAGTACGTGTAGGTTTTGTGGGTCTAATCTGTATATTCGAACTTATTTGCATCATATCTAGTCTAGATCTTTGGTGTATTTGTAGCATTTTTGGGTTTAGCCACCCTTGGCCAATATCTGGGATTAATTATTTGATAAGTATTTATGTTTTTACTTTTCAGTCCTTTATGGTCTAGTTATCATGGTTCATTGGTTTGAGCTCAAGATTGCCCTTCTTGGCATATTTTGTACTTGTTTTTACTGCTTATGTAAACTGTTATTTATGCCCTACTGTTTTTAGACCAATATTACATTTAATGAACTGTGATTATGCTGCGGTAAAAATGCTTAGGAGTGAAGTGGTAGGTATTTAGGAAAAAGAGATATTTGAATTGAAGTATTGAACCAGGGGGGGTATACTTTTTCGGTTGGCTATAAACACTATTGCATGCATATACTTTTCATTTTGGTGAAATTGAATATAGATATATAATATTATTCTTGACACATTCTTTTGTAGGTTTTATGAAGGTGTTGTTGATTATTTTGATTCTGCCACTAAGAGGCACAAGGTGATTTGGAAGCTATACAATATTCTCTTTATCCTATTTGTCCCATCCTTCTACTTGTCCTTTTTTATCACAGTAAAATTTTTTCATTTTTTTAATATTGCATTTCCTGTTGGAACGGTAATGTATCTTTTCCTATTATAGCAAACTCAAGACGGCTTGATTTTTTTGAGGTTTAAATTGCTATTAGCAGTCACCTTTTAATTCGCTTCTGACAGTTCTCTCTATTTTTAGGTCTCATATGATGATGGTGATGAGGAAGTATTACTTCTTAAGAGGGAAAAATGGAAAATTATTGATGATGGCAGTGATTCAGATGGGGTGAGACTCTACCCTGAATTTGTTTTTGGGAACTTCTTTCTGCATCTGTGTTAATGGCAATTATTTCTGTTAACAGGGAGACGGAAGTGATCGCACAAGTCCTGATGCTTCTGCAGATTTGTATGTGTTGCTTATTGTTGATGTCATTTATTATAGAAGGCGTTACTCTTGTTTGAAAATTATCTTAAAATTGTTTTGCATTTCCTGGGAGTGTGCTATTTATATTGTCCAGTATTACCATTTTGTAAACTGCCAGCATTTATCCATGGTCTGCTTGGTTTGTTGCCTTTATTGTTTGTGCCTGTTAAATTGCTAATATGATGGAATGCTACCTTGATTTATGTCCCTAAAAGTTCAACCTACTGGATCTACAAATTTTATTTTTTCTGTTGAATTGAAAAATAAAGATTCTTTGTATGATATGTTCTGTTGCATAATTCTGAACAAATAATGAAGTTGGTTTCATTGTCCTTCCTTCCAGTAGTGTTTGTACTTTGCTATATGTTATGATGTGGATATTCTGTGTGCCTATTAAGGTGCCTTTATTATTGCCGCAAATCAACACAAGCATAAAAGTCTTGCTGTGTAAAAAGGGTGATAAATTGAGTTGAGTGCTAAGAAATCATTGAACGTACTTGAAATATAAATATTTAGGGCAGTGCTTTAGAATTTGGGTTTGCTGTTGTAAAAGATTCAAATGGAGATGACCTATTTGTTGCTGTATTTGGTGATTGTATTTTCAAGCTGTGATTTTTTTAAAAATTTTTTTTCACTGAGTTTGGTTATATTTAATCCTCATTTTTTTATTGTTATATTCAGGCTGCCAAAAAAGAAAGGGAAAACTAGTGGCAGTGAACTGAAAAAGGGAGGAAAGAAGGATTCTTCTAAAAGGTTTGTGAATGGCCTGAATTGATATCTGTTCCATTCTCTGGCCGATGTCTGAATATCTTACCTTTATTTCTACTAGTGGAGGAGCCTCTTCGAGCAAATCCAAAGGGGGGACATCTGCGAAATCTAGCAACAGGTCCAAAGATGGCAGCAAAGCTGATCGAAAATCAAAAGATTCCAAGACTGCAGTCAAATCTGAGGATGAAGTTAGTAGAAAATCTAAGGATCATTCTCTGAAAAGTGGTGGCAGTAAATCTATTGATGCTTCACAAAAAGGAAAATCCAAGAACACTGATAGTTCCAAGATAATCAGATCCAAGGATGATGATGTTAGCACATCAAAGACCTCTGCTAAGTCGAAGCAAGAAACTCCGAAGACCGGAAAATCTAAGCAAGAAGCTTCTAAGCCCGCTTCTTCCTCCAAGGCAAAATCTACCAAAAGTGGTACTAAATCTAATACCAATGGCACTGGCAAGGTGAAATCTAATTTATTGAAAACAAAAGATTCAGAGAATGAACACTCGGAGAATTCTACGAAAGTGGTAGAAGACACAAAGGGTAAGACATCAAGTTCATTGAAGGCTGGAAGCGAGGCCAAGAGTGGAAAGAAACGTGGGAGAAACTAGAAGTTGAAAATCACTTTCGCTGTTCATTCCTTGGATGCTTGCTCGTTTTCTGCCAGCCCATCAGTATTTTGGATTTTCCTTTCTCGTCTTAGCCCTCTATTTAAACTTGTGATAATCCCCTAATTATTGGTAGCATTTTTATCTTAGTTAGGCTAGTTTAGTGCTACTAGGGCTAGTATCTACCGTTCTTTTTTCCCCCAATTTCTTGGTAGATTTTATTTTAAGGTGGCAGAAGAGAACTTTGGTTAGCAACCTTCATTAAAGAATATTTTGTCTCAACCTGATAATGTCAGGTTCACAAAACTTACCTTTTATAGTTGTATCGAAAATATGCGCTACACTGTATACTGACAGTTGAAGCTTAATTAGAGTTGGGGGCATTAGCCGTGGAGAGTTGCCTTTGTCCTATTTATTTTATTTGGTTCTGAAGTTCATGTCTGACGGGTTCAATCTTATTCAGTAAATGGAAATCATAGTGCTATCCGTATATCTTTTTATTATCTAGGCATATTGGCAATCGAGAATTATGAGTTAATGCATTCCATCCGGAGACGATTGTATTTGGGCTTGCAGTTGGATATATGTTTTTTGACTCTCTTTATTAGGCGTTTGATTTCTTTAACATTCGGCTGGTTATGACCGTTTCTAAAGATCATTATAGAAAATTAGAAAAAAATTTCTAGGCATTTTTAGACTTGGATAGGAATTTCGTGTGGCCTAGCGGGAAGCATGCTGTCTACACATTGATTTGGTTTTACTTCAAAGATTTTAACAAGAAAATAAGAATGTTTTTATTGCGACTTTGATGTACTATCATTGTAAGGATTTTTATACTATTTATCAATTATGAATACAATGTTTATATTATTACAAAATTAACAATTTTTGTTGAAACGACAATTTATGATTTGGTTAAGTATAATTTTTTTTATAATATTAGTATATTTAAATTATATTTTTGAAGAAATCAAATTAAATACTTATGATGGGTTAGATTTTCTTATGTCATTTTGAATCAATAAAAATGTGATTGTATTTTTTCTAAAGTTTGAAAATCCAATAAAAATATGTTAAATCATAATTCAACTGAAACTCCAATAACTTGTATGATTAAAATGGATTACCTTTTATATTTAACGAAAAATCAAAATACTATATATATAGAGGTAAATGTTGGACTTTCAAGATACACTATTTATTTAAATTAAGCTTTAATAATCTAAAATGAGTACATAAGAAATAGGTGAATTTTTCAATCTTCTAATTTTTGCACTTAATTCCTTAATTTTTTTTTTAACTTCTAGAAGAAGAAGTTGTAGAGAAGAAAAAGATGTTGGTAATTTTTAAACTTTTTTTTCTAAAAAAAAAAACTATTTAAAATATTTTTAAAAGTTAGAAAATTAAATTAAAATTTTTAATTTAAAAGACAAATAAAATAATATCAAAATTAAAATATCAAATATATAACTTTGCCAAAGAAATAATAACTTAACAACCAGTAAATTTTAAATATAGTTATTTTAATAAGAGTATAACTATGCTTGAATAGTTTTTTGCACTAAAAATGTTGATTAAATCATTCTTAACTACTTTGATAAATATTTGTGTTTCTAAACCTTTTTAATCACATTCAATATTAAATACGAATAATCTTGTATAAAATATGGATAACTTAACCAAAAATTTAAATTAAATGTATTAACAATGTAATTTTTTTACACCGCCATCTAATCATAAATTATTATATCAATAAAATTTATTGATTTTTGTAATAATTAAATTAAAAATTATGTCTATAATATATTTTAATTGATTGATAATAATAATAATAATAATAATAATAATAATAATAATAATAATAATAATAATAATGTATCAAAATTAACTTTATTAACTAATTCAATATAATATAAATAATCTGGTACGTATTTCGGATAAACTATAGTTCAATATAATTTACTAGTTAAGAAGGATGTGAGGGTTAATTTACTAACCAAAAATATATTCAACAAGCATTAAACAAAAACAATTCTTTATTTGAAGATATACCTATTTATATTATTAAATAAAATTTCATTTATTATAAACTTTAAAAATCTAAATTCTCTTATATTTCTTAGAGCTATTAAAATGGGTTAAAGTTCTTAGTTCTATTTTGTTGGCTCTTTATATAGTCCTATTTTTCTTAAAGTCCTATAGTTAATGAGTTTATATTTGGCCTAAGCTCCAAAATAAATAAAATAGTTAGTTAGGATCAAAGTTAAGAATGGACTAGTTCACTTATTTTACAAAGTAAGTAACTATTATATTATTTTTTTAATAATATTTTTTATTTTATTTTATTTAAATAAATTAAAATTATATTTAAAATACAAAAATTAATTTAAAAAATAATTTTTTATTCAATATATTAAAATTTTATCATAAAAATAATATCAAATATAATTATATTATAAAATTAAATTAAATTTAGCTTCTGTATTTTGTTAATTTTATTAATTAAATTTAATATAGTACATTAATATTTATGATTTTAATTAAGAATTAGTATTAAATATTTTTAACTAAATAATAATTAAATGATAAAATAATATTTTATAAAATACTATTTAATAATAATTTAAATAAATTTAATCAATTTTAGTATGTTTAAATTTTTTTTAATAATTATAGATTCATTATAATTTAAGTTTATACATGGTATAGTTATTTTTAATATAAATATAAATATATAAAATCTTAAATGATTAATTTTAATATATTTATATAGATATAGATATATTTTCTATTATTAAAAAATATAGTTGTTAATATATATATGAAATTTAATAATTAGTAAATATTTATATAAAGCAATGTATAAATAAAAAATTAAATTATTAGTTAATTTATTAATTTAAATGTAATATATAAATATGTATTTTAATTTATCGTATACATACTATATTTTTATATTACATTAATATTATGGTGCAGTTAATTTTATGTATATTTATGAATTTAAAATAATAAATTAATAAAATAAAATAAAATAATATATATATATATATATATATTTTAGTTAAAATTTTGTATAAAGTTTTATCACAAAAAAATTTAGAAATACAAGTTACTTTTTTGCATCTATAAGTTTTATAATGTAAAATATTTTATATTTACGATAAAAATATTTATTTTTTTTATTTTTTTTAACATATTAACTTTTATTCAATAGATTTAATAAATTTTGTTAGTATTATTTTTTATTGTTAATTTTATATATTCATTGTTACTATATTTTTTGAATATAAAATGTTCTTACACAAATATAATATGATCTTAGAATATATATATATATATATATATATATATAATATTTTAAATAATTTTATAAAATTAAATAATTAAAAATAATAATATAAAACTTTTATAATATAAAAAAATTAGAATTAATGTTTAAATAATATTTTAAAATTTATTTATAAAATTATATAAAAAATTGTTACAGTTATTTAATAATTATCAATAATATAGATAAAAATTATATAATAATTATTATTTTTATTAATTTTATTTAATAACAACAATCATTATAAATATTTATTATTATATAAATTTTTTCTTTTTAAGTAATTTTATTAGACTACAAGTTTATAATAAAAAGTTATGTGAAATAAATATTTTTATTAGATATTTTAATAATTATTATAATTTATATCAAATTTTTTCTAATTTATTTTTTTAAGAATATATAAATTTTTTTTTACCCACAAACCCTGACCCTAACTCTGGCTTGTGAACTTTTAGCTTTATGGGCTTATAAATTAATGAGCTTTTTGGCCTACAGGACTTTTTGACCTTAACTGACACAGGCTGTGACTAAAGTTAGGGTTGGCCAAATTTTTGACAGCTCTAATATTATTTCTTTTATGTCTCTCACGTGTATTACCAAGAGAAAAAAATATAAATATATTTAATAGATTTTTTCAAAATCATAATACCTTTTATTGTAAATACTTTCACATTTTTTATAAAAGAAAGAAAAACTAAGAAAAAACAAATTCACTTTACAACACTTTCCTTCAGCAAAATATTGTTCTGTTGGGACAAATCCTCATGTTTTCTTCTAATTGACAATTGACAAATGACCTATACTGGAAAAAAAAAAAAAAAAGACAATTGAGAATTGACCAATGCTTAAGACACATTAAGTACCATTGTTCCTAGCCCTTATTCTACTGCCACATCTTTCCTAATAAGTGGAACACTTAACCCTTAAATTGACCCAAAATTCCAACAATAGCCAGAGAACCACATGACTAGAAACAAAGAAACAATTGGCCCACAACTAAATTTTACCCTAAAAATCAAGAAGACTAGGAAGCAAAGACACGCAACTATCTGTCTATTGACGACCGCTCAGATTCGTCTAGAATTTCATTTCCTAATCCTAATGTTGTTAATTAAAGATTTACTATTGACACATTTATTATTCTCTAACCATTAAACGATATTCTATCTTAACAACTTTACTAAGTAATCTAAATTCATTTTATACCAATAAACTAATACAACATTTCCTCGTGATGAAAAATATTTTAACAGAAACGTAATGCTTTGCTTATCGCTAGCACACATGTCCTCACCCAAACATGGATATACCTTATTTTTATATTATGACATTACACACAGAGGATCTAGACTTTTTAACATATTCTTGTTTATTAATTAAAATTTATACACATACAAGTAAAAACTATTAAATAAGAAGTAAAATTCATATATTTTAAATATATTTCAATTAAAATAAACTTTCTTTTCAGAATGTTATTAATTTTTTTCATGTTACATTATTTGTGTGCTATGATCGTTATCTTGTTTTACAAACTCACTCTGTTACTGAGTCGGTTTGTTTCTTTCATTTTTATTGTTGCCCTTCACGATAGAAAAACCAAAATTCACAAACAATTTTTTCTTAAGTATTCTTTTCAGACTTTTGAGTAGATTATTTCACAGATAAAGCAAGCAATTTTCTAATTTTTTGTTATTATATCAATAGTCATGAGCATCTTTTGAACAGATTATTTCACATGTAAAGCATCTATCTATTGTTTTTTCTTTTTCTAGTTTTCTTTGTTATTATATCAACAGTCATGATCATTTTCCGTTCTTGACAAAAACCATCAACAATAGAAGTCCACTTCTTTTCCCATTTCAATTTGTTGTTCCTTGTTTTCTCTTTTTCACTAATCCTTTTCCTATAATATTCAGTTTCTGCCACAATCATTTTTTGTTTTGCAAACACTCACTTAACTTTCTTTGAAATCTGAGAGTTATGTTTCAGAGAAACCCTTCCTACACAAACCCAGGACCCTGTCAACACCTTGCTGATTACAAGCTCAAGCATGGCTTCAATGGCTATAAAGCCGTACAAAAGCTTCTTGTGACCTCTCCAATTGGGAGAACCAGTGTGAAGAAACCCAACGCAAAGATAGCCAGATGCAGTTTCTGTAATGGGTGTGAAGGGAGGTTCTATTTGTGCCTGATTTGCTCTTCATTCTCATGTTTGGATCATACCCTTTTGCACCCTCAATCAGAAACTGGTCATGCTGTGTTTGTGGACATTGAAAGGGCTGAACTTTATTGTGGGTTGTGCTGTGATCAATTGTATGACCCTGATTTTGATCAAGTTGTGATGTCTAAGCACTCAATGGGTGCCACTGGGAATGAGAGCATTGGCCAGAGGTTGATCAAGAGGAGGAGATTGGTTTCTGGGGTTGTTGGATTGGATTTGGACAAAAAATATAAGTGCACAGTTTCAACCAAAGATCTGAGGGCTAAATCATGTTATCCTATGGGATTGAGGGGTTTGAACAATTTGGGTAGCACATGTTTCATGAATTCTGTGCTGCAAGCATTGCTTCATGCACCTCTTTTCCGGGACTATTTCTTGAGTGGTGGACACTGTTTGGAGGCTTGTCATCAGAAGAGAACCATGGATCGGATGTGTTTGCTTTGTGATATCAATGCTGTTTTTTCAGCCGTGTATTCTGGTGATCAAAATCCATATAGTCCTGCTCAGTTTCTCTACAGGTCTGACACTGTTCTTTATGTCATATAATATACTCTTTCATTTTAGCTTTTTGTGTCATGAAAAATAGTGGCTGGCATTTATCAGAGGGATCTGTTTATCTGCTTCAGCTTTGTGTGCCTTTATGGTTGGTGCTTTTAAATGCTGCTGATTAAAAAAAAGGTTTGGTTCATTTGTGAATTACTTGATTTTGAGTATTCTGATAGTCAACCAGCTGGAGATGAGTTTGTTTGAAATATTATACAACTGAGGAAATTCATTGATTCCATGAGCTAGTCAATTTTTATGAAAATATGCCATATGGTCTGCTGAAGTGACAAAAGTAGCATGTTCTTCAGTGAAGGTTTCTGTGACAAAGCAAGCATGTTTTTCAGAACATATGCTGTCTGTCACCTCTAACTTGATGCTTTTTCACGATAAGTTTGAGGTTGTTGGTCAGATTATCTGAATCTAATTGCCAGTTAGCTGGAGCAATGTCAATTGAAACCAAAAAACTTTTGTGAATTTGGATTTGGACCATAATGTTGCTCTCATGCTCAAATTCTTGTTTCTGTTGAATGGTGAAACTTTTTGTTTTTGTATCAAGCTGGTGGCAGCATTCAGCACATTTAGCAAGTTATGAGCAGCAGGATGCTCACGAGTTTTTCATTTCGATGTTAGATGCAGTACATGAGAAAGAGGGTGAAACAAGGAACCGAAGCAAAGGTAATTAAATGCCTGAGATTTGGTGTTTTACTGCAGTTTTGTTGCCTTGCAAATACAATCTGACTTTCTCTGTTATAACTTTAGCTGTTTTCATAATAATGCACTTCATCTAAAGATAATTGAAAAAAATACCAACCTAACAGTTTGTGAACACATGAACAACTTTAACACCAAATATTCATTCTGAAGTTTTTGCTCAAATCAAATGTATGATGCATGATTAATGATTACTGACAGGTAATGGAGATTGTCAATGCATTGCTCATAGGGTGTTCTACGGGCTATTGAGATCAGATGTTACCTGCATGGCCTGTGGATATACCTCAACAACCCATGATCCCTGTGTGGACATTTCACTTAACTTGGACACCAATGTTTCTTCAACAGAAAAGGGTAAAAAACTTACCAAACAGAATGAGGATGGTAATGTATCTACCCTTTCTGGTTGTTTAGATTTGTTCACAAGACCAGAGAAGTTGGGGTCAGACCAGAAACTTTTTTGCCACAATTGCCAAGAAAGGCAGGACTCATTGAAGCAAATGTCTATTAGAAAGCTTCCATTAGTACTTAGTTTGCATGTAAAGCGATTTGAGCACTCTTTTGTTAAAAAGTGTTCTAGAAAAATAGATCGCTTTGTACACTTTCCATTTTCCTTAAACATGACTCCATATTTGTCCTCCTCAATCCTCAGAGCCAGATATGGAAATAGAATTTATACTTTTGGGGGTGATGAATCAGATATGTTTTCTGAGTTTGAGATTTTTGCAGTGGTAACACATTCAGGGACACTTGAGTCTGGCCATTATGTTTCTTTTGTGCGTTTAAGGAATCATTGGTACAAATGTGATGATGCTTGGGTAACCGAGGTTGATGAGGCGACAGTCAGAGCTTCACAGTGTTACATGATTTTCTATGTGCAGAAAACTTTGTACAATAAAGCAAATGAAGATCTTAGTCACCTGCCAAATTCCCTTGAAAGAGAGCTATTTCTTCCTACTGCTGGCTGTAGCAATAGAGGAGGATGTTAAGGGGAGTACATGACGATCAAATAGTGGATTATAACGTGTGCTTTCTATGGCATCGAAAGCCAGCTCCATGCTCAGTGAGGGAATTCTTTTTTTGTTCTGATTCTCCCTCAGGTTTGGAGGTTTGCAGTTTATAGTTGACAAGATGGATTTGCAATATGCATCTTCAAAGTTCAAACTGCTAAAATGCGGATATGGGAATGAGACAGGTTGCTAACTTGACTCCAAATGAATATTTGCATGTGGTTATGTCATTGGCAGCATTGAAACAAAAGATCAAGGAGCCAGAAGTGACTCAATTTCTTCACAACTTTCCACAGTATGCTTACTCAAATTCTTTAATTGAAGATAGTCATGTACATAACTCTTCTCAACTGATGCTAATGAAAATTGTTCAACAACCATTGTTACTCTTCCACTAAATGTGGAGAAAAAGAAAGCTAAGGGCAAAAAAAGAGATTGGGTGTGGATGACTGTTACTAATTCTTTGTCTAACAAGGACACTGCAATACTTATGCTAATGTGCCCTTGCCCTTGAACATTGCATTTTGTTGTGAGTGCAGATTAATCAAAACATAACTGCAGTACTATAAGCGTTTCTGCTGCTATTCTTCGATGAAGATTAGAATTTTAGTACAGTAATCTACGTCATAAAGGTCAGCACACATTACTGATGCAAAATAGACAAGGGTTCTGTTGAACACAAGTTTGTTTTCCCAAAGGTATTGTGAGGAATATTATCGCTCTAACCTAAAGTTATGTTTGCTGGTTGAGTGAAGAATGCTGCCATGTGATTAATAACTTATGTTGAACTCAAGAAAGTAGTTCATTGATAATAGGATGATGACATGTCACTGTATCATATGTATATTTCTACACATTTAGACATTCAAACGTGCAGGATAATCTGCGAATCAAAAGGGTGAAAATGAATTTCACGAAAGATATCCGATTCTAGCATTTTATCTTTCACCCTCATTTAATATGCACCTTTGTTTTTTAAATAAGTTAATTTAATTATAAAAGGGTGCATTTAAGTGAATAAATTTAATTATTTATTCAATATTTTTTAATCATATAAGGAATTATGACATAAATTAATTATAAAAATAAGTTAAAAAGAGTTTATTTTAGTAATTTTAATAAAAATATTAAGGAATTTAGTGAAATAAATAAAAAACTTACATTGGTAAGATGTTTTTATAAATTTTTATAAATTTCTTATGAACTTTTCAAAATGCTTTATTTAGCAGCTAATTGGTATCTCATCTACATTGGTAAGATGGGTTTATAAGATGGGTACGTCCCTGTATTAAATTCCATTTCCAAATCCTTCTAATGGGGCCTCCCTAAAACATTAAAAAGAAAAAGTTATAAAGGCTGAGAACACGCTTAAGGATGAAGAAATGTAGTAGTACCCGACTAAAAGATAAAAAGTAGTGCTAGTTTGCTAGACAGATAAGGGACTATCGTTTGCTACTTGATAGCAAGAGGGTTCAGGTGTGATGGACTTTTTTTTGTGCCTATGATTTGATTTATAGTGAACCTCCTTTAGGACTATTCACTATTAACTTTGGTCTACCATTATTACTTCCACTTCTTATTCCATTGTCCAGAAAATGCAACAAAATGAGAACTTTAGATATTCAGATGGGTTTTAGGACATGGACCCCCCACCACCAAAAACATAAGATGGGTTTTATGACATAGCAAAAGCTGTGTGAACCCAGTATCTCAAAGTTTTAAGCAATAAAATTAGCCACTGTTGTCGATGGAAAATTATTTTGTTACTGTCAAAGTGGGACACCCCTATTGTAATGAGTATTTTGGAATGTGTATATAAGAAAAGGATAAAAAAAAAATATAGAAGTAAGATGGATAAATTTTAATATATATGATTAGGATTAAAAATTTATCTGAATTTATTTAATTTTGATTATTTATAATAAGATTCCAGGATTACCATTTATCCCTCTTGCTTTAATGACTCACTTGGCATGTTTCTTATTAACAAAAAAGAATTTATAATATTTATCTTAGCTTTCAAGGATGGATGGATATACAGTGAGAATGAGCCATCTTGGATTACTAAAGAGTTGTTTGATTATTTACAAGAATTTTTACTGCTATTCCCTCCAGCACGCTTATCATTTTACCACAGCAAAGTAAGCTCATAAGTGAATTTAATGAAAATTTATATATAGATCTTTTGATTTTTAAATCATCATTATTCTAAAGTCTGTATTTTATTAAAATATAATTGATCTCTTTAAGCTTGATTTATGTAAAAAAAAATTTGATTTTTTAATTAAGAAAGAATATTAGAAAAAGAATAAAATGTAATTGATTTTAAGAAAGCTATATGGGTAAAATGACATTTTTATTTAAGAATAGTGTTTTCCTAGAACATCAGATGAATTCCCTGTTTCTAGTCAAAATTTTACAAACTAACGTCTTAACAAGTAAAAGAATAAAAAATAAAAACCTTTTTATTAAAGCTTATAGAAAAATCATTATTAATTTTTTTAAACGAGGATTATTTCCTAAGAATACTTATTAGTGTTTTTCCTCAAGTGAATTAGCATTTCAAATCTACAAATTAACTAAGATAAATGCTAATTAAAACATTGGTTAACTAATTAAAAGTAGATTTTTTTGTGAAAAATATAATAAACATACTTATAATTTTTAATGTAGTCTAACATAATGTTCAATAAATATTTTTCACTTTCAATTTTTGAATAATAAAGAGTGCTCTAAAAGCACTGATTAGCGACCCATTAAACTAATAATGCTTACTTAGTAGTGTGAGGGGAGTTTTAACCAGCAGCAATCATAATGTGGTCCGAAAATAAGTCTGATTATTATATCCATGAAAAGCCAATATTAGAAGAGATAATCCTAAAAGAAAATGATTAAAAGAGACCGAGAGCCCAGTTAGGTGAGCTACTACCAAATCAAGTCAAAAGTGTTTTCCTTTTCCTTTTTATTTACAGTTATCTTCTATAAAAATATAATTTTTTAAGATACGGTTACCTCTTTAAAAGATGTTCAAATTAATGAAGATTGGTCTATTCATCATGCCATTAATTATTTTGATCCATTTATATTCGATTGTACATTTTACATCGAAATTATAATATTAGGGGATTATATATATCAATATATTGGTTTTTTTATTTAAATATTATAAAATTAAAAACAAATTTTTAATTTATTATTTTCATGAAATTATTTTCCAAAGTGTGTTAGTTCACAAGTTAATAGTTTTGTCAAAAAATAGCTGTCAAAATAGTTAGTAAAAATATTAAATTTTTATTTTTTTTAAAATAAATTTTGTCAACAGAAACATAAAATAATCAGATTGTGACATGTGTCAGCACCAGTGTAATTTTGTAATATAATTGGCGAAATTAAATGCTAGTTTCGTCATGCACAGTGCAAAACTCTTAGATGGTGACATGTATTACAATTTGGGTAAGTTTTGCTATAAAAATTGTACAACTTGAAAAAATCTAACATGTGACATAATTTTAGCATACTACACGAATTTACCTTTATTAATTTTAATAACATAATCAAACAAAATTTAATTTAGATTTACATACAAATCATTATCATATTTAAAATAAAAATCAAATTACTAACATAATACTAGAAAATATTTTTTTATTTACATACAAATTCAAATCATATCTTAATTAAATAAATTTAAATACTAACATAATTAAAATTTTTATCATTAGATACTAATTATGATTATATTAAAATTAAAAAAAATAACATAATACAAAAAAAATATTTTTTATATTTACATACAAACTATTGTTAATTTTCATTAAAAAAGTCTAAATTGAAATTACTAACATAATTACAATAAAAAATTTATTTAAAATTCCAATCCATATAATTAGAGAATTTCTTATTTATTTTCTTCAATAATGATATTAAGCTCATTGTTAGCAACATCCGTTTGTTATACTTTTAATTAATCAATAACTTCATAATTTTATGCTTGAATATATTTTAACATCGTATGCATAAAAAATAATGTTAAAGGTGTTAAATTTAGAAAGAAAAAAAAAAGAATATGATAACATATTGTAGATGAAAACACGCATCAAAATAAAATACTTATAAACTTAATCAGACTAAAGATATTTTTTGAAATTTTTTAGAGTTAAATGAACAGTGTAGCTACTATTAACTTTCTTTTGTAAACTTATCATTGATTATTAGATTATGTAAACTTAATACGCAATTATTTTATAAATTAAATTATTGGTTTACATGAGTTTATTTATTTTCCAAGTAATTGAAAAGAATTATAAAAAATAAATATCACATTGTACGTATATTAATTTTAAAATAAAGAAAAGTTATTGTCAAATAACTAATTAAAAAGTGACATTTAAAACACAAGGACAGGTTTAGGGTGAATGATGGAGTTAGGATGTCATATCAATGATTAAAGTGTGACATCATCATCATATTAAGAGAAGTTTGAAAGGCATGTGAAGAAGAAAAAGGGTTAGGAATGCATATATTTAACCTTATATGGCTTCAAAATAAGCAATAATGAAGTTGACAAATGATAATGTTTTGTGGTAAAAAAATATAAGGAAATAAATGAGTTTTTTAAGGAAAGAAAATAATAGTTTTTTTTTTTTCTGAATAGAACCAATTTATATGAGATATTGAAGTAGTGTTTTAGAAAAGACAAGAGAGCGATTTCAAAATTATTTTACTTTTTAAAATATAAAAAAGCAATAAACAAATAAAAAATATACATTCTTATAAAAGTAGTATTTTTTGAAATTATTCTTTAAACAAAATTTTATCTTAATATTTTTAATTTACTAATCTCCTTCTAAAACCTTCCATTTCATTTCTTCTTCAATTTGGGAAATTTTGACTCAGATAGCATGGAAAAGTTGCTCAGTGGAAGACATTGTTCAGACATCCTTAAACACTATTCCTAAGGGTGTCCTCTTCTTTTCCCTTGCTTCTTAATATTATGTCTTCACATTTCTGTATCTATGGCAGAAAAACATTCGAGAGCAACATCAAAAGAAGAAAGAACATTCCATAAGCTTCAACTCCCATTCAAAAACCAAAATGTTTGAAGATAGCAGGGAACAACTCTATAAAGAATACGAAAATAAAGATATATCTACTATTAATTTAAATTAAGTTAAAATTATAAAATATTTTAATTTGAGCTAAAGATAACTTCGTCTTCGTTTATTTTTTATTTTACATTTCACACTTATAAAACAATGGTAGATATAATCTCAAAGCATTCATTAATTATTATTTGATGATGTCATGTGTGTGCTAAGATAAGTAGGGCAGTTGAATTTGCTCCTCTTATATCCTCACTTATTTTAAATAATAAACCAAATTTCTCCAACCACTGACACACTGTAAATGCTAGTTAATAAATTTTGCAGACTTAAGTTTATATTTAATTTTAAGGAGTTAATCAAATAAAATAAAAAATAATTTAATTAATTATTTATTGAAGGAAAGTATATGTAATTCTTTTGTTAATATTTTTTTAACTTTGGAGTGTTTTTCTCACTTTAAATTGAAAAATATTTTTCTCGCTTTAAAATTTGATCTATATAAAATACTTTACCATTGGTAGATTAATTAATTAATATTTTTTAATTCAAAATAATAATGTAGATCAATTTGATGAATTTTAAAATTATATGAAAAAGAACATAAGGGATGAAAAGGAAATTTTGTTTATATTGATTTTTACATCAACTTCTTTTTGAACTTCCTTCTTTTTTAATTGAATGAAATTATACTTTTTCTTCTTAAGGAAAATTTCATTGATAACTAATTAACAAACAGTTACACTTTATTTTTATACGGTAAAATTATCTTGTTCCTAACTTTTTGTGTAAGCATATAATCATAAAAATAAAAAAATATTCACAAAATTATAAACAAAATATTTTTTTAAGGAGAAAGAAAAATAATTTATATTTGATACTCTATAAACTAAATTACTTTTAAAATTTATTTTACCTATCATCTAAGGGTACAATGGAATGTTATGCATGCTTTTTCTTTTTATAAATTAAATGAAGTTGTTCTTTTACAATTCAAACAAAGGAACTTCTCATTTTCTCCTTCCCTCCGTTATCTCCTCTAAATTAAATCAAATTATAAAATTATTTTAATTAATAATTTGTAATTTAAACTAAGTTATCTCATACGATGAAAAACTTGGTATATAATAAAAACTTATTTTTCTCTTATTATATTTTATTATTATCCATTTTTCATATTCCATCAATTTTTATCTTATCATGTTTACAAAAGAAGTCTTAAAAGCACAATTATAAATTTTCTCATAATACTTTTAATAGTAAATAATGAATTAAAAATCTTATGCGGACCCTTAGTGCCTTAAAAAAAATAATTCAATGTTATATTATGTAGAATATAATTGATATGTGAACTTATTGTTTTGTTAAAAGTAGACCCTCTTATTTCTTGTACTTGCATTTGCACAACAATAGAACTTTACTTTGAAAAGTCATACTTGCTACATTATCTATATTTGCTCAATACTCTAATTGCATGTTGGAAAAAGTGAGAATTAATTAATGAACATGCTTTAAGGTGTCCTATTCCCCCTCTTCTCACTCAAATCTTATTTTCTACTGTGCCAAGCTAGTTTTTTTATATTAATTTATTTTGGTTTTTCTATAATAAAATTTTGAAAAATTTTATAAATTTTTTATATAATACCTTTTTTATAATTTTTACAAAAATATAGTATTTATTCACATATTTATATATCAATAAGAAAATAATTTCTAAATAAAACTGTTTATAAGAATCTCTTTTGAATAAAACAACTTTAAATAAAGTGAAATTCTTGACACATCTTATACAACCCCCACATACTTATGGACCTAGCTTAAAATACAAACCTAATTTATTGTGGTCTTGACCAGAATTGATTGAACTTTCCGAGAGGCAAAGTTCTCATTAAATACAAATGGATTTACATAATCAAAGACAAAGATGATAGAGCATTGAGTGTTCATAGTTACTAATTAGAAATACACACGAGTTTCAATATGTTTGATCTCTTAAACATCACCTGTGATGTTAGAGACTTTAACCTTGTCGCTTCATACTCAAAGGGTATGAAAATAACCCTTGAAAAGGAAAATTATTAGACAAAATAGAAATTTCTTGAAAAGTATTTATCTCTAACTATTTTAATTTAGCACATAAATTCGTTTACTTTTGTTTTTTTTTTAAAAATAATTATTAACGTTAAATATTTTAAAATAAATTTCTATAAAATTGAAATAAAACAAAACCTGGATCTTTGCTTTGGCACTCCGCAAACTTTTGGAACAGAGAGTTGAGTTGAGTCAACGGCCGCCATGGCGTGACGAAGGTGGCAACAAGATCTAACCCACGTGGCCCCACTTCCATTATCCCATTCCCTAATTAAGATTAATTTTTCCTTTTAATAACCAAAGACCATAAATATCTCCAGTTACATGTTAGTTGGTCTCATTTTTTTTTATACATATAAAAAGCATACGGTTAATTCATCAAACTTAACAAAAAAAAAGTAATATATAACATAAAATTATATTAAAGTTATATTTTTAAAAAAATACACATAAAAATTAAATAGTTGAAGTAACAATTTATGTATTAAACAAGTAATAAATGTTATAAACAAATGATCCATCAATACAAATTTTATAATATGTAAAAATATACAATAATTTAATACATTTTAAAATAAACTTTATTTTTTATAATTAAATTAAAAAATTTGATCATTGTTTTTTATAAAAAATTTGAAAAGAGTACAATTTTCCCAATATTAAACAACAATTATAAGAAAATTGACTATAGAAAAAACAATGTTGAAGTCCCAGCGAAATTTCTTAGTTTTGCCGTTTGGCTCCGATGCTCAAAACCTTAATAAAAGGAAAAACAAATAGGGAAAATATAAAAATTAAGCAATTGGAGTTTTTCTATTTGATTGGTCAGACCTGGGAAACATCAAAATACCCAGTTGTTAACTTAAAAGGTTAATATTGATTTGGCCTTTAGTTGCTTTTAAGATTTCACATTTAGCATCAGAACTACAAGCCTAGAACCAAGTGGTGCTTCCTCAGTTTTTTCTTTTCATAAACACATTAAATTAAGAGGTTTCATTTCCCTTCATTCTTTCTCCAACTACCTCCTGGCCCAGCTAATTGTTTCCTATTCAAAATCCATTTTTTCTTTGTCGGAAACTGAAATCAGAGGAAAAAAAACATGGTTTCAGACCTGTCAAACTCACATCATGAGTAGTAGAAAGAACAAATCTTTGGAGGGTCTTTTTCTTTCAAGGTGATTGTTGGATTTGGTGCTGAATCTTTGCTTTGAAGTGTGCATCAAAGGTGTGATAATGCAGGAGGAGGAAAATCAGGAAGATCCATTTGGTGAATCTGTGGAGGAAAATGAACCCGCAAAGGGTGTTTGGGACTGTTTCTGCATTCCCATATATTGGTTTAGCATGCTTTCAAGGGAAATGCATTGGAGCTTTGTGTTTGGGGTTGTTGTTGTTTATGGAATAAGCCAGGGACTTGGTGGAGCTCTTGCTGGTGTTGGCACTAAGTATTACATGAAAGATGTTCAGAAAGTGCAGCCATCTGAAGCACAGGTTTATGCAGGAATCACATCCATTCCTTGGATTGTGAAGCCTCTTTGGGGTCTTCTCACTGATGTTCTCCCAGTTTTTGGGTATCGGAGGAGACCTTATTTCATTTTTGCTGGTATGTCATACATTGTGCACATCTTCTCTGATTTTCCTATGTGCAAATATGTTACATATATTTCAACTCAATTCATGTTTTAGGTGGGAATTTTAGTAATTTGTTAAATATTTTACAGCTTTAGTTTTCATTTACCCTAGTTATGGATGTTTCCTTCACCTTTATCAGTTTAAATAAGCTCGAATGCTAATCTATCAATGTTGTTGCTTGTGAGCACTGTACTCATAGTTGGAGCTCAGTCGTAATCGATATGAGCATAATAAATTGCATTTAGATGCTTTGTGGTGGATAAGCAGATCAAAATCTAAGCAATGCTATAATATTTTTGGGGATGATATATGATATATTTGAATTCTGAAACGTGAGATAGTGTCTCTAAACTGGGCTACTATCTTCTTTGACTTCCCTAAATATTATATGGTATATTGGGCAATGATTCAGAGTACTTGATATAGGTTTCGTTCAGATATTAGCAAGATTACTTATAGCATTAGCAACAGTATATAAGCTTCTCTTTACAGGAAGCCATCAATGTCCAAGGGCATGCTCTTCTATTTGAGAACATGGTCGGAAAATCAGGTGCTTTCTGTGAGATGCTTACTAGTTTACTATCTTATTATGAGTAATGATTAAGGTATCCATATTGTTATGATATTATCTGTATTTAATCACCTCTTTCTTTTGATTTGTCGAATTAGGTTCAAATTTGGGTGAACAAAGTACTTATTTATTAAGAACTTATAGCATGTGAGCTTATAGTTAGGGAGGTCACAACTCACAATCCACTTTCATAAGCTTAACCAAATACTTGCTTAAGTGTTTAGATAATAAGATAAGACCCAAATAAACATGTAGAAGCCCTTCCAAATGCCCCTTAATTTTTATACTTCTTGACATATGATGTCCTGCTTGACATGCTGCTAAGACCTGCAAGGATTGATGAAGAGGTTAGAAATTGGTTAACTAACATAATGGTCTGACTTTTAGCCCCTCTTTGATGGTTACAGGTTTCTTAGCGGTGATTGCCATGCTTTTGTTATCTTTGCATGAAAACATGCATCTTGTGTTGGCCCTTTTGTCATTAACAGCTGGGAGTGCTGGGGTGGCAATAGCAGATGTGACCATTGATGCCTGTGTGGCACAGAACAGTATCTCTCATCCCTCACTTGCCACTGACATGCAAAGTTTATGTGCCTTCAGTTCTTCTATTGGAGCACTATTAGGATTCTCCATTAGTGGTATCTTTGTTCACCTTATAGGCCCTATGGTAAGCCTCTGGAAACATTTTTTCCCCAAGACCTACAGATTTTTCCTTGTCTTTTATGTTCTTCTTCATTACTTGTATTTTAATATGCGAGCCTTTTTCCTCATAGGGGGTGTTTGGTTTGATGACTATTCCAGCTGGACTCATAATTTTGGTTGGTTTTCTGCTTGATGAGCCTCGTATGCCCAATTCATCTTACCGACAGGTATAACTAGCTTTTGTCATTTCCGTGGTCCTAAATTCCATGCATAATCTGATATTCCATGTTGTGTCCAGGTGAAACAAAATTTTCTTGATGCTGGCAAGGCTATGTGGACTACATTGAGGTGTGAAGATGTATGGAGGCCTTGTTTATACATGTATTTATCCCTTGCATTGAGTTTGAATATCCTTGAAGGAATGTTTTATTGGTATACTGACTCAAAGGGTGGACCATCTTTCTCTCAGGTATTTGGTTTGTTGTATTGATCAATGTTATTATTAGGATATTAACATGAAATATGAGAAATTTTATCTTCCCTTCTTTCAATGTGACAATGAAAGCCCATGTCTAGGTGTGGAGGTGGAAATACCCATGAAACTGAATTCTATTTTACAATCCCACCTTATAAAAACTCTTGCTTTACTAGTGGAAATATTTTCCACTCATTTGATGCAAGACATAAAGGCACTTGATTTCAAATTCAAGATCATAATTATCCACTTCTTTTCCTCCACTCATACTCCATCAATAAATCCGACTTTCTATCCACCCACCTTACCATGAGAATAGATTGATTTCTGGTACAGAATACGATTATTTTTCATTAAAAGAGAACATAGAAAAATAAAAAATTAGCCAAGTGTCTTTTCTCTAGGTGGCACATGCATTCATTCCCTTGTTATGTATGTCCCCTCCCCTAAAATTTTCTTTCCTATTAATAACATTGTTTAACCAAATAGAATAAATGAAATATTGAATTCCTGTGATTTTTTGTGGCATTGATTTACCATGCTAACTTAAATTTTCTTAATACAATATAACTCTTGTTATATAATAATAATATTGTTAAATAGAAGATGATAGTATAGACTGCCAGTAACCTTTGTCTTCCATTTTTCTTCCACAGGAGGGTGTTGGTTTTATATTTTCAATTAGTTCAGTGGGTTCCCTTTTAGGTGCAATACTATATCAATATGCGCTAAAGGACTATGCATTCAGAGACTTGCTCTTCTGGACTCAATTGCTTTATGGTTTATCAGGGATGCTTGATTTGATTCTAGTCTTGAGATGGAACCTCAAGTTTGGTATACCAGATTATTTCTTTGTTGTGGTTGTTGAAAGCATAGCTCAAATGACTAATAGGCTCAAATGGATGCCTATGCTTGTACTCAGCTCAAAACTTTGTCCCTCAGGTATTGAAGGCACTTTCTTTGCCCTACTAATGTCAATTGATAATGTTGGACTTCTCTCAGCATCATGGATTGGAGGCTTTGTGCTTCACATACTAAGGATTACAAGAACACAATTTGATAGTCTTTGGTTGGCTATTTTGATCCGCAACATTTTGAGGATCGCTCCACTTTGTTTGCTGTTTTTGGTGCCTAGAGCTGACCCAAATTCTTCCATTCTTCCTAGTGAAAGCCTCAATTCAAAGGTGGCTATTGAAACTTTAGACACCAAAAATGTTGAATTGGTGTCCCTTGTACACGATGTTGATGGTAAGATCTGAGTGAAAAGATATTCTTTTGGATTCTCAATTTCAAGCATACGAAGTTACCATGCCATTGTAGAATTAAATCATGTATTTTTTTTTTCATTTAATGTAAAAGTTAAAAAAAAAAAAAAAGATTTTGAGAGGACATTCACTCAATATGAGGGATTTCCTAATGAATATTAATAGGGTAATAGCTTTATCTATTAAATTTGAGCCATTATTCTTAGAGGAGTGTTACCTTAAATAAGATTGATTGTAGGAGTTATTTTCTTTCCCTCGTTACGTTACGTAACTTTTACTGCATTGAGTATTTATGTATTTTTTAAAAATTCATTTTTTTAATTTTAAAAAGCTTTTTTTTAACTCAGTCATAATTGATATATTAGAATATTTATTGTCAATAATGATTTTTTCAAGTTATAAAATATATTAAATTTAAAACAGTAATAAAATGTACTATTAATTTTTTTTAAAAATATTTTAATTTAATAATACTGTGCAATATATGAAAAACTCATTATGTAAAGTAAGCCATATATTTGTATGGGTTTAAAATAGATAATCCATGAATTTTGTTTATATAAATTGCACGTGACTGTTTTTATATTAAATGACATTGATAAAGAATATATTCTATTTTTATGAAAAAAATCATGTCATTGATTAATAACATGCCAGGTTATTGTCTGGGCAGAATTTTTGTTTTTCTCAAACACACAGAGAACAGTACAATGTATCCGAGACATGTTCACAATAATACAATAGTGATGATCTTGGAGTAGGGTCAATCAAAATAATTTATAAATTCTTTGGCAACTTGGGGTTAGAATCTCACCGGAAAAAGGAAAAAAAACTATTAAACAATTAGTCACAGAAAGTGAATAAAATGCATAGAATGAAATAAATTCCACATTAAAAGAATAGCTAGCTGTTACAATAATAAATAAATAAATAGCTTTTGTCTTTAAATCCTACAACCAAAATAGATTAATGCAAAGTTGGCTCTTGACACTAGTGGATGGTAAATAACCAAGCAAAAGGGCATGATTCTCAATTTCAAAGAGATTTAATCGTGCAATTTGTTTGCATATACCGTGAAAGAAAAGAAGAGAAAAAAAGCATAAGATGACTTTGAGAGGACAGATTTAAGCAAGGATTCCCTTGTACATTAATTTTTTCTCTTAAAAAGAAAATAAAAATTGAAAAACGTGTAGGAAAAATTGAGTGATAAGTGTGATGTCACAGAGAAATAAAGATAAAATATAAATTAGAAAACCTATTTTAAGAATATTATAACACTGAATATTAATTATGATGCATATAAGAAAAGTTAAATATTGTGATTCTCTGCAGTTTTGCTTTTATGGGGTGATATCAATATTTTTAGCCAATGAGATTTACTGTCACATATAGAAACAAGCAAAAGTGATGATCTTAAGTGGGTCAATCAAAATAATTTATAAAGCTTTTTGCAACTTGGATTAGAATCTCACAAAAAACAAACAATCCACACAAAAGAGCATAATTTCCATCCAAAAACCCTGCCACCCGAAATAGAATTGTACAAAGGCAGGGCAGTGAATTAACGTCCAACACTTACAAGGCTATTAGTGATGGGTGGTGTGTGTGAGGAATAATTGGGTTGCCTAATCACTGTAGGAGGAGGAAGAGGAACACGATCATACATATCAAGTGTAAGCACTGGCAAAGGCACCTCAAGTTGAAGAACCTTGATTACTTGTGCTGCCTTAGGCCTTTCCTTGTCATTTGGATTGGTACACCAAAGCCCCACAATTAGCAAACTCATCATTTCATTAACCTCAAACTCATTGTTCAATCTCCCATCAGCAGCCCTTAGAATTTCCCCTTCCACATAAAGTTGCCAAACCCAATTCATCAAAGGCACATGAAAATCCCCATCTTGAAAAGTCCTTCTCCCACTTGCAATTTCCAAAGCCACAACCCCAAAACTATACATATCTGATTCCTTACTAGCCCTCCCTCCATTGATATATTCAGGAGCCAAGTACCCATAAGTCCCCACCACCCCTGTCCTTTGAGTCCTCAACCTTGGATCCACCAATTTTGCCATCCCAAAATCTCCAATTTTTGTGCTAAAATCTGTGTCCAACAACACATTAGCTGACTTAATATCTCTATGAAGAACACATTGTTCAGCATCCTCATGAAGATAACGAAGTGCTGTGACCACACCTAAAGCTACCTTGTACCTAACATGCCATTCCAATGTTCTTTTGTTGCCAAATAAATGTGTGTCAAGGCTTCCATTAGGCATGTACTCAAAAACCAACAAAAACTCCCCTTGCTCATGACACCACCCTATGAATTGAACCAAGTTTTTATGTATAAGACGGCTTATGATCCTAACCTCGTTGATGAAAACCCTCTCAGAGTTCTCAAAATCAGCGAAAATTCTCTTAACTGCAACCACTCTTCCTAAATAACTCAGAACCCCTTTGTAAACTTGTCCAGAAGCACCTTGTCCAAGCCTGTTATCATCTGCAAAACCATTAGTAGCTGAAACTAGTTCTTTATAATCAAATCTTCTAGGTATAGTCCCTCTATCCAAATCAAACTTCACAGAAGCAGGTCCATTCTCATAATCATCACAACTATTTTCCCTTCTTCTCTTCTTCATGATAAACAAAACAATACTCACCACTCCAACCAAAAAAACCACTGAACAAACGACAGCAACAATAAGCACAACCGTGGACTTCGACCCTTTATGTCCCACCTTTTTATCCATGTCATTCAAAGTAGAACTAAACTCCCAAGAATGAATAACATTTGATTCAGTGGATAACCCAGTTGAAGCAGAAAACCCAACGTTCACAAACTCTGGTAGAATCTTCATGAGATCAATCTGGTAAGAAAGAGAAGACTCATTATTATCATTGCTGGAACCTACTTTTCCTTTGAATGACCAAGACACGGAAAGGGTCTTAGTAGAAGCAGTGTAAGTGATCAAAGTGTAACACATGTGTCCGAGATTTTTGTCAATGTCAAACTTAGCAAAAGCAGCGGATGTTAGAGAGTTATCATCGATCCCAACATGTCTCATGGGCGGGTCAGTTGAGCCAACAAAGGTATCAAATTCAACAGCAACAACATGGTTTTGAGGAAGGTTATTGTTGGTGGTGGCATTGAACAAAGCAAAAGTGCCACCTGCGGAATTTGGAGGAATTTGGTAACCCAAAGGGGCTAAGTAGAAGACAAAGCCATCAGCATATGATGAGGAATCATTAACTTTGTCAATAGTGAAAGTAAAACGTGTGGTGAAGTCGGTTACAACGTTGGAAGATGAGTCCCATAAGTGAAGCGGTTGGGAATAAATGGCTCTTCCAACACGGAAAAGGTAACTATCTTTGTTTAAGACTATGGAACCGTTGCTTGATGTTCCATCACCTTCGTATGCCATGTTTGCTGAGGTTGTTGGATCGTTGAAGTTGGTTATGTTGAAGGAGAGGGATTGGATTTGGGAAAGGGGAGTAAAGGAGAATGCAATAAGAAAGAGTGTGAAGTAATTGGTGAGGAGGAATGGAGCACCTGACATGGTTGCTGAATTGTGAACTGTGGATTAGGATTATTGGGACTTAGACGGTGGTGCAGCCATTGTCATTATTATCATTCTGTATAATATATAATTGAAGTTTTTTATGATGAAACGCTACACCAATTGACCGAATGGGCATCATCATACAGTGGGGTCTAGGTTTTGGTGTGCGTGCATGTGGGTTTGTAATATATATACATGGAAGAGATGTACTTATGTCTCACTTTAATAATTTTTATACATAATAAATTTTATTATTAATTATTATTTTAAGAATTTTAATAAGTAAATTAAATTTATAAAATTATATACACATAAATGTTTAATTGATATATAAAATATCACCACACATGTACATGTGATTAATACAAATTATTTTAATTTAATGTATAGTTTTATAATGATTTTATTCGAACAAGATTATTTTTAATAAAAAATATTTATAATTTAAAGATAAAATTAATATTTTCATCCTCTAACTTTTAAAATATTTCAAATGGATAATTTTTCATTTAAAATGCTAATTTCATTAAAAAAATTTATCATTTTTTACCACATATAATGGAAGTACTTTTTATCATCTCTCTTAAATGTTCGATCTCTATCTCTTTTATTTCTCATGTAAATTAGAAAACATTCTCAACTTCTCACCAAAAACATACACACTGTTTCTTCCCGTTCCTAGTTATTTTTTCATTCTCATTACCACCCATTGCCATTTCCAAGCATGCATGAACCTTAGGAACTATTTTTTAATAAGATAAAAATTTAAATGCAACAAGTTAATAGGCCTACTTATTAATTAATTGATATCTTCTATTTCACCCCAATAGATAAATAATGTAAAGAATCCACAAATTAAGAAGATAAAGATTATATATCCAAACTACCTATATGAATTATGAGAGTTAAATTACAATGTGATATCATTATTACCATGTAGTTCACTACTAATGTAGCTATGGTTTTTCTTTAACTTTTCTATGGATTTAACAATTTTTTAATAAAGCACGGAAAAATTATGTTTGTGATAGATAATTAGTAGGAATTCTAGAGGTACTTAGACAAATAGCTTTTTAAGGTAAAATTAGCAGGAATTCTAGAGTAGTGTTGCTATTACAGTGGAGGTTCAAGTAACTGTTCCACCATTTTTGAGAAATATGTGTTTGGATTGCCAAATTTAATGAGGGTAGCTATGGAATGAAGAGTTTGAATCTTTTTCTAATGCTATGATAACTAATGGAGTGGTTGTGGTAAAGAAAAAGACGGAGAAGAGGAAAAAAGAAGAAATAGAGAAAACAAAGATCGAAAAAATATAAGAAAAACGATGAATATTTTTTGCACAATGCATATAGCATAAAACAATAAAAACTTTTAATGGGATTGGTGTTTTTAACAAAATATATATATATATATATATATATATATTAAAAACATTTTTACAAGTTAAGAAATTAAAATGAAAAAAATAAGTTAGAAGATGAAATTGAAATTTATTTTAAAATTAGAAAATAAAATTATTAATTTTATCTAATTTAAATTATATATATAATGTTACGTAGGTGAAATAAAAAGTGATGATATACTAAAACTAATTAAAAATAAGTATAAATAAAGTGACATAACTTTAAGAATTACTTTTAAAAAGTGTTAGTTTTAGGAAGGAAAATATTTTGCTAGTATCTAAAAATATCTCTTTTGATTTGACAATGTATTTTTTAAAAATGTGTATATAAAAATATATATTATATAACTTACATATTAGTAATTGTAAATGATCCTTCATGCAAATGGAAACTCGAGTTTCTTCTCTTCGTTAGTGGTGGCGGAACGTAAATTGTTCTCTCAAATCATAATCATTTGCTTTTACTTTATAATGATTATAATTTTATATAGAAAACGAAAGTGCTAAGAAGTTGCATATTATTATGCCACAAGAAAAATAGGAAAAATTATTAGGTTATGTAATAAAATTTTATAATTTATAAAAAATATGATCATAAAAAATTTCTCCAAAAATAAACAGTTAAACACGGCACGCTAAACCACAATTAAGGCATTCAAATGAGCTTATTTTAGCATAAATCTATAAAGCATTTTTTTGTATTATTTAAAAATATTATATATTAAAAGTTAAAAAATATTTCGTTACTTACCCATTTTATAATTTTGGTCAAAGGTGTGACTACAAAAAGTTGGTCGTTAAATGTGTACTGTCCACAAGAAGCACGTTTTTTCATAGGGTGGTTGCTCTGTGTAAGTGAGGTAGCCACCTCATCCCATGCATGTTGCTACGATTACTTAGGATCAGCCTCCTCTTATATTTGCGCGCAAACACAAGGATAAGGATCATGTTAGCGTATTTTTATATTTTTACTTAAATAAAAAATTATTCGTTTAAAAAAAATATAAAAATACAAAACATGACACTCATGTAATAGGAAAAGATTTTTTTCGATTACTTAATATATGATTTCAATAAAGTAAAAACGTGTATTATAAAAAATAAGATATATTTATTACTGTTGATTGCAAAATTAAAAATATATATTTTAATAAAGTCAATTAAATATATATTTTAAAATTTAAAATGATTTTTATTTTTTAATTTTGTAATAAGTATATTTTAGGTTTGATTATATTATTGGCCTTTTATATTTTAATTTATATAAATTACTTTAATTTAATTTTTTATATTTAGTTAATACAATTTTTTAATTGCTTAAATTAAGTCAAATAGTAAAAATTTATCTAATATAAAAGTATAGTAGGTATATGACAATAATTAATTGACAGAAATTAACAAATAAAAAAGTATGAAAGTTTTAAGTAAAAATAAAAAATTATCAACTATAGAAAAATACATTTTATTTTTATTTAAATATTTTATATATTTAATAAATATTAAATAAGATTTTAAAAAAACTTACTTGAAATAATTAAAAATTATAAAAACTAAATATAAGTAGTTAAAATAAATAAAAATACATAAATTAAAATATATAACTAAAAATATGATAAATTTATATCTTAATTTCTAAATACACTTCTCTGACTTTAATCCGTATTCATCTTTTATATATCCTCCACTAGCAAAACCTTCAGCTAGCCTTCCTCCTACCAATAAAACTGTGTCATATAGACTTTGTTGTGCCACATAGCATTATAATATATTAAAATGTATTCAACATAGTAATATGCTATCTATAGTTAATATTATTACATTGGTATTTAGTTGCACTTCCATGCATGTCAAATCAGTGGACATTGCAAGAAACAGTGGACAACTTTAACAGTTCTACTAATAATATCACATTGAGGATAGGTCAAATCTATTTATTAATAAATTAAGTTAAAACATTTTATGAATTTATTTAATTATAAAAGCTAATTGTTAATGTAGGAATAGACATGTGAAGATAAAGAGAATCTATCCAATAAGTTATCATATGGGAATATATTTCCACACATCTACTAATTTCCCAGATCAATAATAAACACATAATCTTCATGTCAAGTTGTCAATAAAATACTAGCAATAATGAAGTTGGTATAGCAATTATGTCTACTACTTCTTAGTGTTTTCTTATCAACAAATAGCTCATCCAAATGTGACATGAAATTATAAAAAACTTACCAAAAATTATTGGGAGACTATAGTGTTAACCAATTAAAATATAATATGTATATATTTTTATAAAATATTAGACACATAGTAAAATATGAGTAGTGGGAATTACATGGTCCTAGACCATTCCTAAAGAAAGTTGTATAGTTGTTAAAGTTGTATAAAGTTCATTTTATAAAAGTTACATAATGAAACTCCACTTAAGCTTATGCCACCATACATGATTAAGCATAACTCAGCTATTTCAGAAGAAATTATTTCCCCTATTTTCCACTTATATAAGTCAATTTCTATTCAACACTGACAATAATATTTAGGCTCTAATATTTAAGGTGGGAATGCAATCCCTGTTTCAAGTGACAGCAAAAAATCTTTTAACAAATATATACAGATTTAGTAATAATTAAAAAAAAATATCATGAAATATGCATTGTCCCTTATAATATGGAAAAAAAAGAAGTTAAAGAACAAATTAAAATATGAAAAATAACTTTTATTAAATAAAGACTCATAATAATTAAGTACAAGACTGATTAATTAAATTTAATACAAATAATAATGATTTCTTTGATATGATAACATCGTATTATTTAATAGCAAGAGGATTTAATTAAGTCCACGTATAAAACAACTGCAAAAGCCTACAAATAAAACTCATGAATGACATGTATGTCATGAAACATAGAATATACTAATCATATATTGCATACAATAAAACTCATATTATAAGGAGAGACTACTTGCTAAAGCATTACAGTTTTGGTCCTACTTCTTGCCCATCAACTCGTTCCACTAACCCTCTTCTCGTACATTTAAAAATAATTATATCTACGAGAATATTCAAACATCATATTCATTAATATTTCCAAAGTTCTAATGACATATTTCTATATATATAAAAATAAATTTTTTAATAATTTAGACTCAAAATACTTTTATTTATATATATTCTTTAATTTGTTGCTAGTAAACTAACAGTAAGTGTGTTTATTAAATTAATTTTTAAAAATTAATATTTTTATTGATATATTAATTTATAATTAGATGATAATAGAGTTAAGTTTTAATCGACTTTATAGATTTTTTCCAAAAAGTGAAGTGTACAAATAGTGTAAAAACTCATACTAAGAAAAACATTATTAAAAAATAATATTATTTACATAATATTTTTTATAATATTATTTTTTATCTGTTTTAATTTTTTTTTTTTATAAACAGAGCTTATAGTTCAAAAACAATAAAATCAATTACAAGGCTTAGAAAGTTAATACTTAAAATATCATGCCTAAGATGGGATAATAAGGGAGAAGGGATAATATTTAAAATATTACAATCACATTGCTCCATATGAGTCAAATTACTGATCACATCC